TCTCAGGGGCTTAGTTCCACTTTTCATCCAGTTCTAATTGGGCAGCAGAATGAGCTAACTCAATAGTGTTGATGTTATGTAAATTATCAACAAACTAACTGAGCTGTTGCTGTTCGCTGAGGTGGCCTACAATAACTCGGTGCATAGCAGCACAGGATTTATGTCTTTTAAGGTGGCCACTGGAATTGAGTTCATAGCATGCCAGAGCTTCTCTAGGGAGCATTATCCTCTGCAACACTGGCAGAGTGGATGGATTCTCTGAGAGACACATGAGTTACAGTGTGCAAGGTACTAAATAAAGCAAGGGAGGCCCAGAAAAAGCAAACTGACCAGAAGAGGGCCCCTTACAGGGAATTCCGAATGGGGGATAAGGTATATTTTTCCACAAAGTATCTAAACCTAAGACATGCCTGTAAAAAGCTAGGTACTATGCATGTAGGTCCTTTCCCCATCGTATGGATTATAAACCTGGTGGCAGTGGAGTTGCAGATGATGAGAAGCCTTAGGCAGATCCATCCAGTGTTTTATTGCAATCTATTAAAACCCGTGTGTGAGACTCCCAATTAAGGCCAGTAGGAGGATCCCCTCCATCTCCAGATCTTGTAAAAGGAGAAGAGCACTATGAGATTAAGGACATATTAAGGCATATTTAATAGATAACTACAGCTTGTTGCTCCATTCAGCAATGAATAAGGAAAATTGAGAGAATAAATATATGAAGAAAGGATCCATTTGTTGAAAGGAAGGCTGGGAAAATAATGCTAGAATAGAGTTTAAAAGATCCTTGGAAAGAGATGAGAAATTTAAATAACAAAAATCACTACATGATATAGTGAATGATGCTGCAACAGACAAGATTTAGTTAATTTTCTTTTAATCCTTTTAGTTTTTTTACTTAATTATTTTGCATTCATTTTCTCCATTTTACATAACTTAACTCATTCTGCAAAGGAACAATATGCTGTCTACATATGTGGTATATTCAAAATATACCACATAATAATTTTATAATTATGTGGATAAGATAAAGGAAGGAGAGTATTTCTTATGCACCACAAAGTAATTGCTTGAAACAAATTAACCTTTTCTAAACCCACTGCCAATTTTGCCCATCTAAATATGCCTTTGCTTTTTTTGGTTGTAAATTTCAGTTCATTTACATAAAATATGTCAAAAATGTACAGAGTGGAAATACTAAATACAGTAGTTCTCTATGTATGGCCAATCATGAGTTTTGTGCAGTAGCGACTGGTCACGGGCTTGCAGATTCTCTGTATCCCTGTGGCTAATTTTGCCCTGCCTGGGGATCCTAAATGGGTCTAAGTTGCCCCGGAGAGGTGACGAAGAAAGAAGGGTGATCCAGCGATTCTGGAATGGTGGTGGCTGTTCCGTTTAACTTGGGGAAAGCCTTCTAACCTGACATGAGAAAGGCTGGCCATATTGCATCAACCAGCCCAAGCTACTAGCAACCAAAGTCCAAAAGCACTAACCAGCACAACTGTGAACGGCATGCTTGAAACTGGGTGAGAATTCGATCTTCTCTTTTCTATTCTACATTTAATTTCCTGGAAAAGATCCCCAAGAAGCAAAATACTTCCGAAAGAGAAGGAGGGGGATTTCCTCCCCACCCTTATACTAACAGAAGCAGCAAATTAATCTTTTTATGGAGGATCAAAATATATTAAATTGAAAAAGAAATAGTTGCTGACACCTAGTGGTGGATGAAGACTACGACAGCTATGACTTTAATATAAAACTTGGCAAAACTTGGGAAAAGCTAATCTGTGTTTGTGACCTTCTAAGTTTTACAACAAAGAACAGCTGTGACAAAAAAAGACAATAATCTGGGCTGTAGACAAAAAGAGAATTATAAATTTCAGAAAAAAACTTTTTTTTATTATTTGGATTACAAATATCTATTTAATTGGGACTCTAAAACTATTTGCAGAGAAAAGAAAGGAAGAGAAAAACTCAAGTTCTTGGCCATCATGGGTCAGAGACATGTAGAAAGAACATATCAAGAAAACATAAATATTTCACAGGAGGAGATACATAACATACTGCAACTAATTCAAATGAAAATGAGTTTAAACCACAAAGAAATCCAAAATAACTTTGAAAATATAAATCAATCTATTTCTAAGTTAACTTTATAACAAAAAAATTCCCAGAAAACAACAACAGAGAAGGAGCAGATAAAACAGATAAATGGATATAGAACTGAGAATAGAGACATAAAGATGGAACTTAACAAAACAAGGAAACACAATTTAATCCTAATGGAAAAAAATTCACAAGAATTGGAAAAAAATAACTTATCCCTTAAGATTACAAAATAAATCTGAGGACAAGAAAACAGATTGGATAAAATGGACTGTGAGATGTCAGGAACATTGGAGAACAAGGAAATGATAAGAGAAGCAGAGAGAAAGGAAAAGAAAAAGATTTTCAACAAATGTTGAAAGGCAGAAGCCCCATACAAAGACACTTCACTAATTTACTTTTTATATCTACATTTACGAACATATGGAAAGACTTTTTGATTCAGCAAAATACATTGATTAAGAAAGATATTGGGCAAAGGAAAAAGACTAAAGTAGAAACCAAGAAAATAGATGATGGGACTTACCAGAGAGAATACTTAAAAAAGAAACATTTGTTTGAATATGGTTAAAGAAATAGAAAAGTTTTGGAATATATATGTCATTCTAAATAATATAGTATGCTTTTTTCCATTTTTTGTTCTTTTTCTTGATATGAGTAATATAAAAAAATTGAAAATAGATAAAGGAAATGTTTTAGATACTTAAATGTGATCGAATTTAAGAAAATTATAATGGATAAAAATGTTTTAAATACGATTTAAAGGGCTAGATGACTAGATGTATTAAATGGAATGTTTAAAGATTAAACATATTTTTAATTATGGTTAAAAAGAATAAGAAATTTAGGAAATAAATATATATTAGCTTAGGAGGGATATATATTTTAAATAGTATGTTATTTTTTATGTTTCCTTACTCTTGCTCTGCTTTCTTTTTTCCCATTGTTTTATCTATTTCTTAAGAAATGTAAAAGTGTGAGCTGGTTTGTATACAAAAATAGAGTTAAATTTTAAAATCTAATTAATTTTTGAGAAAATCTTAACCAGTAAGAATACCTAGAATTTAGTGGGAGAAACAAATTAAAATAAGGACTGTAACAGGATCTATAATAAGGGAACCAGAATGATTGGATAGAAAAGAAATATTATATTGATGTGACTATTATTTTTAGGAATATTGGTATATATATATATATATATATATATATATATCTATATATAATATATATATATATATATATATATATATATATATATATATATATATATATATATATATATATATATACATATATATGTATGTCCAAATTTCTTTTTCTGACAAAGAATTAAAGAATTAAATTGAGAGACTAAGATGGCCATTTCGAGCTCATTCTGCTCATTATGTATGTATATAAAGTTTGGGATGTAAGGTAAAAGGCTTTTTTTTATTGATTGCTGAGCTTTCGTTAACAACCTGTTAACATCATCAGAGCAAAGGGCTAAATGAGAAGGGGGGAGTATGTGCATAAATTTACATAACAGTTAAATAATGGTTGCAGTGAGCATGTGCACATAGCGTGCTTAAGAAGCTCTTAAAGGCATAAAGCAGTCAGTCTCAAGACCATTTTCAAAAGTTGCGCTTGTCAGCTGTTTGGCGTGTAGATCCAGCATGCCTATCAGCTTTTCGGCATGAGGTTCTTAGTGCTCCGTGCTCAGTCTTGTGCTGGCTGGAGCACGAAGCACCAAGAACCTCAAACAGCTGACCAGCGCAACTTTTGAAAATGAGACTGACTGCTTTATGTCTTTAAGAGCTTCTTAAGCACGCTATGTGCACATGCCTCACTGCAACCATTGTTTAACTGTTATGTAAATTTATGCACATACTCCCCCCTTCTCATTTAGCCCTTTTCTCTGATGATGTTAACAGGTTGTTAACGAAAGCTCAGCAATTAATTAAAAAAAAGCCTTTTACCTTACATCCCAGAGCTCTTTATTTTTATCTGATTGACTTTAAATGTCCACACGTGGGATTCCAATATTCAAAATTACCAAAGACACACACACACACACACACACACACACACACACACACACACAATTGTTAACTATCAAAACAATAACAATTGTATTAATTCAATGTTTGCAAAAGATGATATTTTGGGAAAAGAGGAAATCAACTAAAACCATTATGTGGATTATGGATTATAGAAATCAATTGTTAATGATTGTTTTACAAATGTAACCCAGATAACACACTGTTCACCAATTATTGTGATTTATGTTTTTAAAAAATCAATAAAATATATTACAAAAAACCCAAAAAACTTATGGCCAATCATGTAGCAACTATTTGAAGTTATAACAGACAAAAATCTACTCATGACCGAGTTCCAAAGTTACAATAGCTGCAGATGGTCATTTGACTACTTTGGGGCACTTAATAAGTAGCACATTTTTATGGCCATTTGCAGCATGCCATGGTCTTATGAGCACAATTACAATATTTTTTGCTGTTTTTTTAGTGTTTATTTCTGGTTTCAAGTAAAAATAACCATTGGAGAAAATTAATTCACTTAATGACTATCCTGATTGTAAATGACTGATGCAAAAACAAAAAAAAGTCAAAAAATCAGTTTGGGTCACATCATGCCTTGACTCACAACTGCAATTACTTATGTTACTTATGACTGTAACTCCAGGCTCAATTATGGGTAGGCGTCATGGAGAATCTATTTGAAGGAATCCAAACAAATCCAATTTTGCCTAAGCCCGTTGAGAATAAAAATCAGTTCCAAGAAATATTACAGCGACACAAATACTTCACCTTCACCAACAATGTTTGTCTATATGCTATAAAATTCCTACAGCCAATATTTTAAATTTTCAAAAAACAACAACAAAAAAGAAAACTCACATCAAGAATTTCTTTGTTAGCTTTAGGTGATGTAGCCTCTCTTAATTCCTTAATGGCTACAGGAATTTTAACCTTTTCTCCTTCTGGAATCCAGAGACCCTGTGGAAAAATCAAAATGGATAAAATTAACATAGAAATTAAGACAATTAGCAAGTAAAATAGATTATGAACAGACTTTAATACATTGATTAACAAGTATGGAAATATAAATTATTTAGTTTTTGGATAAATGGTTCTTGATTTAAATACAGTAAATATAAATGTACCATATATCTTAAAATCATATAATAATTTGAATGTGCAACAGCGTGATTCTATGTACAGTTTCTATCGATTGCCAGTGGGACTTAATTCCAAATACGTTTATACAGAACTAATTTTTCACTAGTATACAGACACAAATACATACATACATATTCAGAAAAGATGATAATTTACCTGATAGACAGTACCAAAAGCTCCAGAGCCAAGGACTTTTACTTTTTTAAATTCTGTTTCTTTTAAGATTCTTAGAAGTGCTTGGTTTGGTGCTTCCCCACTTGGTGTCAAAGGTTCAACAAGCTATTGAATCAAAAAGGACATGGTTTAACAGTTTCTTTTTAACTATAATAGTGTACAAGACAGGGTGGTTTTTGAAAAACATATAACCAATGATTCAAACCCATCTGTGATATAATATTATAAATCCATAATAAATTACTTGGTGAAATATTGCTAAAAAACAATCAGCTTCCTAATCATTAGAAATACCATCATGACCTTATTTATATTATAATAGCCCTAATACTATTAGAAATATACAAATATTTAGAAATACTATCTTCTTTTATGAGCTAGCAGAATGTGGTTTCATCCCAGAGAGAAAGTTCATAATTCCTATTGAAACAAATATAGAGTAACAGGCAACTTAGAAAGTCTCCAAGATGCTAGTGCATTGTGAGTCCATATTAGTTAGTTCTTTTCTGAATCATTAATTATATTTACCTCTCTTTCTTGCAGCAGTCTGCGCAAAGTACGTTTTCTAACAATCCGACGTCTACGGACAAAAAGACCAATGCCCAGGGCTATAACCACTAAGCAAAGAATGCTTCCAACAACTCCAGCTGCAATGGATGGGATTTTAGATCTACAAAACAAAAATAGTTATTATTGCCTATATATTAATGATAAAGCCAGTTCATCGTTCATGAGCATTTAGAGGTCCCCAACCTTTTGGGCACCAGGGACCAGAGAGAGGTTTTTCCATGGACGGGAGGGGGCATGGTTTTGTGTGCTGCCTGCATCTTGTGGGTGGGGTTTTGCTTGTTTGTGCAGCCCAGTTGCTGCCATGCCGCGGCCCGGGACTGGTCCATGGACTGGGGGGTGGGGACCCCTGATTTAGAGTATATTTTTTAAAGGAAAGGGAATAAAATATAACTTAGTGTAATGAAGCATTCAGGCAGTAGGTCCCCAAATGCAGTCTGAAACAATGAAGTTGTAAGGACTGTGAGAATAATCTTGAGGGACAGGAGGAAGGCTTGTAGCCTAAATCAGTGGTTCTTAACCGTTTTGAACGAATCACCCCCTTGAGCCAATGGGGAAGTTGTCATCGCCCCCCTCCCCCAACATAACCTCTCAATCACAACATAGGAAATAATTCTTCAATTTATGCAAACACTTTTTTTGTTTCCTTTAAAATTGTCATCAGGACATATCAATGCAAATAATTTATTTCCAGTCTTTTCCCCATATCTCCCATATTCTGGCCAATGGCGCACCACTATATGGGTAGAGGCTGCTGCGCAACACACACGAAGATAAGCAATGCGTATTCACATATGTACGGTGTTCTGTACTGAAGCTAGCTGGAGAAACATTTGAAAACACAATTCAATCCACTAAGAGCGAGCAATCTGATGTTTTTGTATGACAGATATACAGCGATTCACTGTACGAAAAAGTCTCAAAAGTGTCCCCAAAACTTCTCGCTCCATCGCCCCCATATCCCCCCCATATTGCCCCCTTTTTGTTCCTTCGCCCCCATGTTGCCCCTTTTCGTTCCATCACCCCCCCTGAAAAATGAAATCGCCCCCTGGGGGGCAATATCGCCCAGGTTAAGAACCACTGGCCTAGACAAAAGTCTGATAAGATAAATCTGAGTCCAAAGCAGGAATGGGAGAGGAGAAAGCACTTCAGAATTGACCCTCCTTAGCTCTCTGGAAGATAATGGTACAGGAAAGAAGAAACACTGTCAGATTTGCAAGATTTTGTTGCTGTAATCAGAGATAATAAATGTAGTATTAATATTTTTGTTTTTAGTTTCCTGATTTAGGCTACTGAATGAAGAGCATGTATGTTTTGTGAAGTTCATTTACATTTCTGTAAAATTATGATCATCAAAATATAATTTGATATGCATCCTCATAATATTTGCTAAACATAAAAAGAAAGTTATATCATCTGTATCTATCAATACAGCTATGTGAAATTTTCTATAATTAGAAAATTAGACATTAGGAAAATTAATATTGTACAAAACAAAGATGTGATTATGTGGTTAGGACCTAAGAAGCACTGCAGCACAATAGAAAGTTTCTATCCATTAACTGATTAAAAAATAAGATTGGATTAATGATTTCTTTCCTATTGGCTAATATGTTCATGCTGTGATTGGAGTACAGTGAATGCAGTACCTCTTCCTTTTTGACCATTCGTATTAAAAAAAACATTGTAAATTGATGTAAACTAATAGTGGATCTGGATTTGTTTTCTAAAGCTACAACTAAAGAAACATACTTTGTGTACCAGAATCTATTTTATTAAAATCTGCTTTCCTTTGCCACAATGTTCTTGGCTTTATTGGTCACAGCTGTAAATGGACCTCTGTAACTTGACATTAGTTAATAATAATTACCCATTAGGGCAGCCTTCAGGTCCAGGTCCTTTGCATCTGCAAATGCAAGGAAAATAAGAAGGATTAGCAACAGAATTAAAAACAGATCAGAATATTATAATTTAACATTTAACTGTTTGCCCTGTGAACATCAGGGTAACACCATGTGATTATTACTGAGAGCTGTTGTGGCAGTCAGCTTCAGATATATTCACTATCCCAGCAAAGTACTGTTTCTGCTATTGAGAATATATAAAGCAACTCATTGTACAAAGACATAAATCTCTCATTTTATTTTACAAATAATGTTAAATCACAACAAAAACACTAAAATAAACCACATAAAATTAGATAGTCAGCCGTACTATAGGGAACCATATACACTGATTGTGGATCAGGCGCCTAGTTTTTTTGTTTGTAGTTTTATTATTGTTGTGAAGTACAAGAGTTGCTTTCTATAAAATTAGTAATAACTCATATAACTCTTATAAATAAACATATTTGGATATGGCAAGATTATCATGGTTTAAGAGAAATTTATATGAAGTACTTTGCAAAAGTTGTTTCTTTTCTTTTATCTTATGGGTATAAAAATATCAGTAGTGATCTTCTAGGAAAGATTTTGTAGTACTATCTCAAAAATCAAAGTAAGAAAGGCACAAACACCATAAAAACAGTTCAGGGAAGTCCAGATAGGGTATGGATCTGTCCTTTCAACTGCAGATACATGAATAATGGCAAATTGAATATTTTCATTTGTATGCAGTGAATAGAATTCATGGCTTGACTTACCTACTACTCTAAGGATCCCATCATTATATCTTGATATCAGCATAAGTTAAACATCCCTTATTTACCATCTCCCTAGTAATTATGCTCCTCTATTGATTAGGAAGGGCAAATAATGATTGACTACTGCACTGATGGCAGAGTTGCAAGTCAGGAGACAAATCAATTGCAGATAAGTATAAATAATCTGAATAGATCTATCAACTCTTTATTTTAATTGTGAGATCAAAAGGTTTGGGAAATGGGAAAGCTGTTTATCGGTAAGTATCACTCATATGGGATATTTTCATGCTTTAGGAGCTTATGGATCAATATAAATGGGAAAAAAAGAATGACATTGCCATAATCATATACTACAGGCCACCCAACCAAGCAGAAGAAATAGATGAACTTTTTGCTAACCAATTAACTAATGTATGTAGGCAACACACCACAGTAGAAATGAGAGATTTTAATTACCCTGATCCTGACATCAACTAGGAAACAAACTCTGCATAAAGTGGGAAATTAAATAGGTTTCTTATGAGCTTAGCTGACAACTTTGTTATTCGAAAGATAGAGGGAACTAGAGAAGCTATACTGGACTTAATTTTTACTAATGTAGATGAAATGACAGAGCTGATTGAAGATGCAGGAACTTTGGGAGCGAGTGACCATGTCATATTGGAATTCAATATAATGCAGACACAAGCAATAGAACAAAATCAAATTAATATCTTAGACTTTAAGAGAGCTGATTTCAACAAACTTAGAGCTTGGAAAGGATTCCATAGATGAAAACCTTAAAAGGGTAAACAAATCAAGAAACTTGGTGAAAGGAATAAAGTATTATTCAGAAATTTCTAATGAAGGTTGATAGAAGAAGCCACCTGAAAGTCATAAAATCAGACAAGTAAATTATAGACAAATAAGAAAAGCAGAAGTTGCTAGCTAACTGAAATTGCAAGCTGAGGAAATATTGAAATAACTATAGGAGACGAAATGTGCTAACTGAAAATTAGATGATGAAAGATAGGATACGGACAAAGGGGCTTCCTGGAACATGGGAAGGACAGTGGTTTTAGGCGGTCCGGAGAGTTTATCAGATGGTTAGGGAAGGGGCACACGGGCCTTGCTCTTTGGCTAAGTTTTCTCAGGAAAAAGCCATTTCTCAAGCCCCTTCCTAACCAAAATAAGCCTCTGGAGCCAGCATGCCTCGCTCTTCTTAAGAGCAATCCTGCGAAAACAAACAGGCTTGTTTTGGCTAGGAAGGGGCTTGAGAAATGGCTTTTTCCTGTGAAAACTTAGTCAAAGAGCTTGCAGTCTCTGCCAGATCTCTGTTGGGATAAAGTCTTTTAGCTCTTATAGAGTGCTTCCAAATATAACTAATCCCTGGGTTTGGCTCCATAGGTGCCAAAACATTTTTTATCCCAACAGAGATCTGGCAGAAGGCTCCATTTCTCAAGCGCCCCATTCCAGGTGTATGGAGCTTGCAATCTTTGCCAGATCTTGAGAAACAGAGCCTTCTGCCAGATCTCTGTTGGGAAAAAAAATAGGGTGCTTGAGAAACGGAGTCTTCTGCCAGATTTCCGTTGGGATAAAAAAATGCTTCCACACCTATGGAGCGTTTCCAAATGCAGGGACTGACTGCATTTAGAAGTGCTCTATAGGAGCTAAAAGACTTTATCCCAATGGAGATCTGGCAGAGACTGCAACTCTGTATGCCTGGAATGGGGCACTTGAGAAATGGAGCGCTCCTTTTCATGCAATCACACAGGGTGCTTCAAAACGCAGGGAATCCCTGTGTTTTGAATAGCCCCACCAGAGCACAAACACTTCACAATCCACAATGCCAAACCCTAACCCCCACCACACTCCAGGGCATCCACAATGCCAAATCCTAACCCCAGGGCAATCACATTCCTTCACTAACCACCTTTCCAGCTCCATTCTCCATGTGCAGGGCAACAAAAGAAGTTTGTGGGACTAAAAAAAAAAATCAATCTGACCTTCCAACTTCTCCAGAAAAAAAAAATCTTACAAAGTTGGAAGGCCTGGTTGAACTTTTTTTTAAAACCTGTAGTCCCACAAGCTTCTTTTGTTGCCTTGCAAGTGGTGGCGGAGAACAGAGCTGGAAAGGAGGCTAGTGAAGAGAGGCTTTGGGGAAGCGAGGGAAATGGGGAGGGGTCTGCTCTGGCCTCTTCTGCCTCACTCCACCAGCATCAGAGCTTGGAGGCTTGTTTTTACCAGGAAAAAGCCATTTCCCAAACCCCTTCCTGGTGAAAATGAAGCCAAAGCACGCCTTGCTCTTATTGAGAACAATCCTGTGAAAACAAGGATGACAAAGGACAGTACAGTTAGTTCTGAAAATGAAATCCTTAAAGTGTGGAATTCTCTGCCAAATAATTTTAAGTCAATGAAAGCACTTGGGATTGCTTTCCTTACTTTGTTTGGATCATCTTATGCTTGTTCGCAGCTGTTTTCAGCTTTGAATTATATCAAATCTGACACCAGAAACAGACTAACAGATGACCTGAGTGCTGCATGTGTTGCTCTCAAACTTACAAAGTATAAGCCAAGGCTAGACAAATTATCAGCATGCATACAGCAGCAAAAATCACATTAATTGTTCAAAAGCATGCCAAATGCAAACTTTTACCTTTCAATAAAAAGTTGTTTGTATCACTGAAACCTTTGTTATTGTGTTTTTCTTTTAAGGCAAAAGATGTTAATGTATGAGTTGTTTTTTCTAAACTAAAACCTCAGTATTCAGGTTAAATTGCTGTGTTGGCACTTTGCGATAAATAAGTGGATTTTGGGTTGCAGTTTGGCCACTTGGTCTCTAAAGGATTCGCTGTCACTGGTATTGGGTCTCCTGCTTGTGCAGGTGGGGTTGGACTAAAAAACCTCCAAGATCCCTTCCAAGTCTGTTATTTTGGTATGCTGGTATTTTGCTTCTGTTAAAATGTTTATTAAGATGGCAAAAAATTTTACACTTGAAAAAAAATGATACTGCAAGCTTCTTCTCACATTATATTTACAAATTCTCAGAATGTGTACCAGAGTCTTTTAAAAAACAATTTAATATAATAGAAAGATATAAGGAAATAATCTTAAATTATTTGGTTTTTAATGTTTTATTATATTGATTAAATTATATAATGCCCAGAGCCCCTGTAAGAGGGAAATAGGAGATCAAAAAGTTTGTTAAATGAATGAGTGAATAAATAAATAAATTTGTTGACTTGCTGTTACTATTTAATAAGAATAGTAGATATTCTGCCTTTTTTCTCTAACAACTTCCCATTCAGCACCTAAGCAATCATTTAAATAATTCTGTAAGAAATATTTAAAGTTCTTTCATTCCCCCAATGGTGACCATAGTGGAACACAACCCAAAATTACTTTAGGCATTATTCCACATTTCTCAATCAAATTAATTTTGTAAAAATGCTTTTTACAAAGCACAAATGTAACTCTAAAATAAATCTATGATGAAGTGATTCTAAATGAATGCCTTGCTTAAGCCTAAAGTTAAACAAAATAAAGTTGTCCTTTAATTCAAATTTTATTCCTGGGGATTGTGGACACATTCCTGTGTTTTTTTTAGCACTAGTACTAAAGTAGTTTGCCACTCCCTTTTGAAATGTTTTTATTTTCCACTCTAGACCACAGTCCTAGTTTTCCTTAGAGCTTTCCCATCTATGTGGCAGATCTCTATCAGTATACATATAATAATCAATGTTGACTGTAACATTGTCTCTGTGTGGCTTATTATGGGCAACTGCAATGATGAAAGAGGAACAACTGCACTACTATACACTGCAGAATCATTGTGACAAAGCAAACCATTAAACTATTAACCAATTTTATATTAGAAAACAACAGCTGCATCATCAGCATGGAGAGTGATTGAAATCTGCTAAATATCTCTATAGATTGAATTATGAACTAATCTTTATAAATGGAATTAGTTTACTAGTCTCTGCATTCCAAGTTGTCCATCAGTATATTCAAGCATGTATATTCAGTATATTCAAACATAAAGACCATTCTTACAACTACAACTTTAGAACATAAATCCATTTTGTGTTATTTTATGTGATTATGTAGCTTTTAAGAATGAGGCAATACATTCTGTTTGCTCTCTCAGGAAAGTAAGACTTGTGACTCTATTTAGTTGAAGTAAAGGAAGTTTTACTGAAAGAAACTGGTTGCAGCAAAGTCAGAGGGAATCTGGTGTTCCCGCCAAAATATAAAGCTATTCTTTCCAACTCCCATGCCCTCCCCCCGACCAGTATCCCGGCCAGCCAATGTGATGGTTTGTGAAACTCTAAGCTGTGAAACTGGTAACATTCCATTCTCAGAGCACACGGCCTTGAAGATCTTGGTACAAATCGTTTTGGTGATCTAGTCTTCTTCTTTCATTGTCACTTCCTCCTCCCCATTTCCCACCATTAGATACATAGGTGTGGATTGCCCCAAATATCTCCCCCTCCCTTCCTCTTTGATGGCAGGAACCCAGCAAAGCGCTAGACCAACAATGGAGATCCCGACAATAGAGATGTTTTACATTCATGATATCCTAGCCACATGATTGTCACTTTTGAGCAAATAATTTCCATGTGGGTGGCATGTTGTTATATGTAGGGGCCAAATCTGTAGAACTTTCCTAAAAAATCAATACCTACTCTTAGCAGCACAGTGATCTGATAACCAGGATCCTTATGATTATGTCTACACATGTATTTAGGTCATGTGTGGTTAATGTTCACAGAAAAAAAAAGATCCCATATGATTTCAAGGAAATCAACTTTGTTTTTATATAAGGATTTCTCAGTAATGGTACATTGTTGGGTATGTGCTGACAGGATCATTATTTACACTGACCAAGAAGTCACTCAGTTTAAATACACACTTGATATCAAAGAGGACATGGCTATTGTGATTTTGTAATTGAACTATAAAACCCACATTTTATTCCGGATGAAATGTGACAGTCAGTATACTAGTCTTAAAAAATTCCGCATGTGTGGTTATTCTGTGACTATGATACAGCTCATTTCATTCGCTTCCCTGCTCTTTCAAAATATCACAGTTGTATAAAGGAGTATCTATGCAATACTGCAAGGGTTGCCAACCTTTCTGGGTGGCCCAGTGGGAAAGGGAGGGACAGGCACCTTTATGCATGCATGTACACACACAAATGTGGCTGCCTGTGCATGCACACAAACAGGGCCATGAGCATACGTGCTCCACAAATGGGGCTGCTAGTGCCGGCTTGCAACTCAGCTAGTGCTGGCAAGAGGCTTGTGGCTTATGGCTTCTCTAGCACTGCCACGAGGTTCATAGTTTGGCTAATGCCGGCAAGAGGTTTGTGGCTCGGTTAGCGCCGGCACACAGCTCATAGCTTGGTTAGCACTGGCTCATGGTTCAGCTGGCACTGACACAAGGGCAGGGAGTGAGTGTGCACACATGCAAGCATGCACTGGCCAGCCACTCATGTGACCCAGTGGCCAAGAGGCTACAACACATAGGTTGGGGATTTCTGGAATACTGTATAACTTCAGTATAACAAACCATGCAGAATTCGTTAATCTGAACATATGTTTTTTTACCAATTTATTATTCCACAATTGAAATCAACCATTTACCATAAAACTTTAATTTAATGGACATTTATCCACTAAATGTGAGCGGAAATTGAACAAATAATTTATCCATTGTATTTGAAATCCACTAAGCCAAGGTCGATTAAACTGAGAGTTATAGTGACATTTAAGGAAAAGCTAGGAATTTTTTTTGTGGAATACTGTCATTACTAGCACCAAATTACAATTGCCAGTAAAAATCAATCGGATTTAATCCCTGTGGACTCATAATACCAATATTCTGGTACTATTAGTGGTCCCTGAAATATTTTATATTAACTATCCACCAGATGTCACTACAATTCCAATTCTCAAAATTTTAGCTTTGTTAGAGGCCTTTATAAAATGAAAAACTTAAATAGCTAAAGAAAATAATCACAGTATCTTGTGGACGTATCAGTATGGTTATAGGGAGAAAGCTTAAATCAGAAGAGAATGGTAATGTTATGCAACATTACAACCATTCTTTTACTCATGTAATTATATTGATTAAATTTCCTCATTAAAGTTGATATTTGTTCCCTAGAAGAAAACTGACAGTATACCAAACTATCAAATTTTTAATACTATAGTATAAAAAAAGTCTAAAGAGATAAATTATAGTATCAGTTTTATTTATGTTTGATTGTTCATTGATTTCATATTCCTAAGCCAGTTAAGGTTCTGTTTTGTTTATAAATTGAATTTTTATAAATTATAACATATGATCCTTTCAATTAATTTTCAATTAAGACAAAAAAAATTTCACTTACCCACGAACACAATTTGGATGGCACAACTGACATACTGAATTTTCATCTGGATATTTCCAGACTAAGGTATCATTTTCTCCCAAAATGCCAGCAGGACATGATTTAACACAATGTGGACCATCTTTTACATGAGCACACTTCAAGCAGTTGCCAGGACCCTGGACAAGAAGCACAGCATTTTTTGTGGATGTGACATACATTTGCGTGTACACTAAACATGTAGTAATTATCAAGCTTTGTCAAACTACACCATCAAACGCATAGAACTTCAAGAATTTACAAAGGAAGACTTGCCGGGTGAGAATGATGGATGATAAAATCTGAAATAGCTGCAGATCAGAAGATAAACGTTTGTACGTATCTTTTATTACTTCAGTATCCTACTGATTTTTGAAAAACAGCTATTTTCAAAAATTCTATTTTTTTATTTATTTTTCTACATCTTATGCTAAATATTTTGTACAAGAGGTTTTAAAGAACATACTAATTATATTCTTTATTTTGTAGGAAAAGCTAAGGCCATCTGCTTCATCTAATTGCAATTATAAAGTTAATTCAGATTGATATTTTTCTAATGGGTTAATCAAGACATTTAAATACATATATGTCTTCACTCCCTTCCGAGCAGACTGAATCAGGTCCAATTTGCTGGAATACCCTTCCTGATTAGTTGCAATGAAAAATAGATATGTCATTCAAATTTTCAGAAGAATTAAAAAGAAAAAGAGGAATGTATTCATGCTTAGTATTTTGTAGAAAGTGGTTAGAAATTTATTAGAAAATGTTTTCATGATGCTAGAAATTGCAAGTGAATAGTTACTATTAGCATTATAATATTGGGCGACAACTGAATACAGACTACAATTTCCTTCAATTTCTGCTTATGATTTCACTACTATAAGTAATTATAAGAAATATTTGATTTCATGCCAATCTGAAGTTTGCAATATAAGTCACCTTCTTCCTGGTAGTTTTACCAATTCCCCAAATCTTTTTGATCTGAGGGTTTATTCTCTGAGGGTTCATTCTCCGAGCTTCTGGGTTGGTTTCCAAATGTTCCAAAGGCTAGGTAACATCTTCAGCAGAGTTTAAGGGATGTCATGTTGGTGTTCTTCTGCTTATAAAGGCTTTGTGAGCAATAGGGTTTGTGATGAGAGGGTCACATCAGGTGAGGTTCATTGGAAGGTGAAGTGCTGGTAAGGGGTTGCATGGATAAGATGTTGCTGTTGCTGGTTCGTTGTGTGACTAATTTGAATTTTCAGGTTTTCATAGGTTGGTTGTACCAGTAGGTCAATGTGTCTGTTGATGGAATTCTTGTGGAGTGCCATGCTTCAATAAACTCACAAGCATGGCGGGTGGTAGTTTGGCTGATGATTCCTGTATTGCTCCAATTGAATAGATGCTGTTCAGTGTCAGTGTGGGTAGCAATTAGAGATTTGGGATCATGCCAATTGACTGTCACCTGATGTTCATGAATTCTGGTTTTCAATTGACATGACGTATGTCCTACATAAAATTGTTTGCAATTGTTACAGTTGATTTTGTACATTACATTGTTTCTTTCATCCTTCTGTATCTTGTCTTTGATTCTGGATAATTCCTGGTGGAGTGTGGCTGTGGGTTTGTGGGCGATGGTATTGTTATTCCTGGAGGCTGGAGAATTTTCGCTGTCATTTCCAACACCCCTTTTGTGTATGGTAAGGTTAATTTTTGCATAGTGGTTGGCTGTGTGGTGTGTAGTGGTTTGGGTGGTGTGTGTATTCCCATGCAAAGTTTTTCAGATAGCCATTGTGGAGAAAGATCTCAAGCTGCCAATTCTCTTCTACTTTTTTTAGTGCTGTGGTGCCACAGTATGTCTTGGCCCTTTTGAAGAGATGCAGCTTGTTTTGTGTACGGTGGGGTGGTTGCTTGCAAAGTTGAGAATTTGATCTGTGTGAGTGAGTTTCTCCATTGTCGAGTCTGCTGGTCAAGAATGGAAATCTTTTGTCTGTTTCCTCTTTGAATGAGAATTTGATCCCAGGAATATGTTATTGAGTAGATAGTGTGTTTCTTCAATTTGGCTGTCATTTTCAATACCCCTTGTGTGTATGGTAGGGTTAATTGAGGATGATGAAGGTGTCATCAACATATCGTCTCGAAAATTTTGGTTGGATGGTAGGTAGGGCTGTGGATTTGAGTCATTGCATGACTGCTTCTGGATATGAGTGATCCCATCAGGATACCTTGTACCTGCTTGTAGATTTTCCCATTGAACTTGAAGTATGTGTTGAGGCATAAATCCAGAAGTTTCATGATGGTTTCTGTGGACATGGAGTGTTCTGTGGCGGAGTCATCTTTGAGGGTGTGGTGTTTGGTGAATAGATGATATATGATTTGTTTAGCCAGGTTGATGTTAATCAGTGACATCTTGTGTATTTTGGGGAGTCCATAGAATCTGGGTGTTGAGGAATCTTGTGGTGGTATGTGCTTTCTCTTTAGTGGTGTTAGCTGTTTTTCTTTTTCCATTTTCCATTTTCCATTGTTCTCTAGCTGTTTTGTCAGATCATTGTGAATTATTTGATAGGTATTGGTGTCATTTAAATCAGAGGTCCCCAACCTTTTGGGCATCAGGACTGGTTCCGTGGAGAGAGGCTTTTCTGTGGACCAGAGATTGCGTGGTTTTGTGTGCTGCCTGCATCTCACAGTTGGGGCTTTGCTTGTTTGTGCAGACCAGTTGCTGGCATGGTACCGGTCCACAATGGTTTTCAACTTTGCTGATGTAGTCAGTTTTGTCCATGACCATAGTCAGTCTGCCTTTGTCTGCCGATAGAATGACAATGGTTTCATCTTGTTTCAGTTTCTTCAGTGCTCTCTTCCCCATTTGGCTGACTGTTTTGTTGTGTCTATCACACTGTATGTTGGGGATGATTCTTTGCCTGATGTCTTCTTGTGTTTCTTGGTCCAGGTGGCTTGTTTTTAGAATGGATTCAAGATTCGCTAGGAATTTAATGGGGTCAGTGGTTTTGTGGTTGAAATTGAGGCCATGTGTGAGGACGGTCTTCTCGTCCTCACACATCTCTGATAGATTTCTGATCTAAAGTTCTGAGTAGTTGTCTTATGGTTTTGGGATGATCGTATTGAGTTTCTCCTGTAATGAACTGCATTGTTGGGTTTGTCTTTTGTTGGCATTCCTGTTGATTGTGCATTCTAAAGCGTCTGTCAGGTCCTGTCCAATGGACTTGAGGCATGTGTTTTTTTGTTCATCAATGATGCATTGGCATTTTCCCAGGTGGTTGTGGGCATCAGTGATCATGAATTGAAGTTTTTTGCGTCTGTTTTGGAAGGCTAGTTTCCATGCGTGTGGGTGGTTGTTCGGTGGTCGGTAGCGTATACTTTTGGCAGTTGTTTGTTTGCAGGGGCATTTGTGGAGGAAGTGTAGCTGTTTGCAAATTGACAATCATCTTGCAGCAAAAGTCTCCCAATAGCAGGCAAGACTGAGCATTGCATGCCCATTTAAGTTTGCAATAGTGGCAAATATCTGTAGCTCAGGTGTAGGATGAGGATGGAGGTTTGTTCTCTGAGCTTTTGGGTTGATTTCCGAATGTTTATTATAAGGCTAGGTAACATCTTCAGCGGACTTCCAACTTCTTAATTTTTTCTGCTGTTACCAGAGGAAAACTACTGGGAAAAATACCTTTCTCCAATAGGTGACTCCCTTGTGTCATGAGAATCTGAGCTTACTCTTTTCATTTCAGAATGCAGCCTGTGTACAAATTTGTCTATGGAGATTCTCAGGTCATAATTATCCCAAAGATGCTTTTTCATGAGGCAGATGGACTTTCTTGTTTTGCTTTGAAGACGTTTCACTTCTTATCCAAGAAGTTGTGTACAAATTCCATGCACTTTGCAGCAAGCATGATATTTGGCTGAAACCAAATGAGCAGAGGAATCATTGATTGTAAAGCTCTTCAAAATATTTTTCACCAATTTTCACTTCAATTTTGCATGAAGTATCCGGAATAATTTCTCTGCTCCAGCCTGTATTAACCAAACTTTTTTCTTTTTTGTGATCACCATGACAAAATCTCATGTTAATTGAATTCAGCTACTAACTGAATTCAGTGACCTCACTGAGACATCTGTGAATGTTTTATTTTATTTACCAGTCAAGTGTTCAGCTGAGATTATCCTGTGGTTCCCCCATCTAATCAGTTCCAACCCTGCTTAGATTTTTGGATCAGTTCCTGTTATTATTAGAACCTTTCTTCGTTGTGATTGCTGTTCCTAATTCTCTTGAAACCTGTCTCGCTTTTTCTGGCATTCTTATTATGTTATTCACATTGTGTAACAATTGGGATAATACAAGAATTATAATTTAATGCAATATTTTAAGATACAGCAGCACAATTTAAATCCCAGGCTTAAAGCCACTACAATTTAAATATTTTAAAAATGATAAAAATACTATTGATAACTAATATTTGAAATTATAGCTATAAAAGTTAAGTATGTTCTAAGTCTGCCCTGTTCTGCCTATTGTAGTTTTGGTAAAATGAATAAGGAAGCCATGTGGGCAAATAAATTATCATCTAGGTTGAGAAAAACAGTTTAGAATTGGATACCTTTAGGTTCCTACAGTAAAATTATATGTATCCTTTGAACATTAATCTGTTTATATGTGAGCACACTGATATCTGCATGGGACAACAATATAACACACCCAAATACTCTTAAGAAATAAAACTGCCAAAGAATGTGCACTTACAGATCCTGTGCAGGTTAAATATATTGGTTCAGTTGAATTTTGCACAAGGCATTCTGAATGACACTGAAAGCACTCAGACTTTTGTTCATATTCTCGAAGCATTCTAAAAGGGATATATAAAAAGAAATATGTCATTTATTTATATATGTATGTCTCATACTTTTAAAGATATTTTTTACTAAAGCAATTTCCGAAATCTTTACTTAAAACATAAGCAAAATTTAAAAGCAACAGCAACATGTATAAATTAAACCAATGTTGGATCCTTGTTTTGCTTTTTCTGAGTTCCTTCCATTATAATTACTCCTTTCTTAAAATACAAAAGTTTTTTACCATAAGCTATTACTTGTCTTTAAGTAAGGGCAGAGTTTCTGCATGATAAATTACATCATTACAAACTACATTAAAATATTTGGATAGTTAATTAAGTTCCTTAAATATTATAGATATCTGAGATTTCTTTCCTTGTGTCATATTTCTTCTGCGTTTAAATAAATTCTGAATATAGGGTCTCTCTATTAACTGTTAATAATCTCATTAGAACATAATTATAAGCAGTAGAAGCACCATGGAGGGACAATTTAAAGCAGCTAATCATCCTGACAAGGTTTATCACACTGACAATCCATATCTTCCAAAAGAAAAATATATCATCTTCCAATATATCAGCACTAAGAAAGCATATTAGTCAAATTTAGGCAGGCAAGAAATTCTGACCATGTCATAACTATTAAAAAGAAGGAATATTATTAAAAATGTTATTTATTATGGGGACATATTAAAGAGATATACTTCCAGGGAAGTTTGCAATATTAGAAATACCCATAGATATTTGACTATGTTCACTGGATATTGCTGAACACTTTATGGTTCATTTAGGTAATCCTGTGAATGACTAATATGAAATCAGTTTATTCACAGAGAATTCTGATGGTATGGTATAAGTTATATTAAGGGTTTTGACAAACAGACAACACATGAGTTCAGGAAGTGATTGAGCTCATAATTTATATCTCTATATCTCTATATCTCTATCTATCTATCTATCTATCTATCTATCTATCTATCTATCTATCTATCTATCTATCTATCTATCTATTTATAGGCAGTGCTTTTATTCTTAAAAAAAAAAAAAAAGTGCCGGAACTCACACACGTCATACAACCTGCCTTGCCTACCCTACAAAGTTCCATCCAAAAAAGGTGCCGGAACTCTGGCATTTTATGAGAAAAAAAGCCCTGTTTCTAGGACTATGAATAACACAATTATGCTAAAACCACTTTGGCTTCCATAATTTTGGGATAAATTAGGTTTCATGCAGTGTCAGTGGCCTAAATACATATGAAAAATAAGTTAACAGCCAAATTATCTCATTTCTGAAACCATTTAATGAATGATTAAAACATGAAAACTTAAACAGATGGCTTAAATAGCTATAAACTTTATTATTTATTACTGGTTACACTGTATCTGTAATTTGATGCAAAATTTGCCATTTAGATCAATACAATATATGTAGTAAACTTTTTTTTGTGAAAGATAACACCTGCCTTTAAATAAAATCCTTTAAAAAGTTTCATACTGTGCATTCATTCTGTTTTTCCTAAATTAATTATTTAACTTTAGAAGCCCACAGCAGCAGGAATACAAAGAAAAATATTTTTATAGGAACTAATTATGTTAAGTATTTTAGTACTGCATGCTTGACATTACAGTAGTTCATTTTTAGAATCTTTATCATAGTTATTAGCTTGAATGACTATAATTTGTTGAAATTAAAGATCTGCACAACTGGACTAGTGGCTTTTTGGGAGGGGTTGGATAACACCAACAATATAAATTCCTTCTGAAACTGAAGAATAGTATTCAGAGGTCTCTAGTGCTAGATCACACAAAGGAAATCTTAGATTGCACTATATTTTGTAGAATGTCCTCTTGATGGCCATTGTTGAAGAAAATATATGATAATGTAAAAAGGATCACAATCAATTTTACATTATGATCCAAAATAATTTTGTCATGCAAACCTAATCATGTTTACTGAGATGAAATTTAATTTAATGAGACGTTTTATTTAGGAAAAGTACTTAAGATTTCAAAAATCTTACTAAGCATCTTCTCACATAAGTATGTGCAAGCCTTATTGTAGAATTGAAAGGATTTCACTTCTTCATTACATAGGATGTATGGAACTCTTACCCTTGATAAATGTTACAATGTTTTACACATTCCTGTTGGCGGATAAAATAACGGCAAGAAAAGCACTGGAAGGGTCCCGGGCCCCAGCAGCCTATGTCTGAGCAGAAGGGATGACAAACCTGTCCTGTAGCAACTAAAAGATAGAACCAAGTGTTTATCCATATATCAGGAAGGAGAAATATGCATGGCATAGTTTAAATTTATTTAAACAATTACTGTTTCTCATCTGTTAAAATCCAAGCAGTTATCAAAATCCAGAAAAACCACCCATCTAGGGAAGAGTGATAATAGCATTAACCTAGCAATAGCATCTAGGCTTATATACCACCTGACAGTGCTTTATAGCATCTCCTAAGCAGTTTACAATGTCAGTATCATTTGCATATTAGCCTAACAATCTGAGTCCTCATTATACCAATCTCAGAAGGATGGAAGATGTTTGCCCTCTTAACACTCAGTCAATTCCCAGCACAAATGCAAAAAGACTACTGATCAATCATCCTTGCATCGTAGCCTATTGTGTGAGCTACATGTAGAAAGTTCAGTATCTCATAAATGTTTAACTCAACAAATATTGCTTTCGAGATATGATGGCGCAGTGCTTAGAATGCAGTGTTGCAGACTAACTCTGCCGACAGACAGGAGTTTGCTTCTGATGGACTCAAGGTTGATTAAGCCTTCCATTCTTCTGAGGTTGGTAAAATGAGGATCCAGATTGTTAGGGGCAATATGCTGACTTCGTAAATTATTCAGAGAGTGCTGTAAAGCACCATTGAGTGGTATATAAGTCTAAGTGCTATTGCAATTGCTATTGCTTTTTAGTCTCTACTTCCCTGCCATAGTTAGGTAATAATTAATCTGTTAATCTGATGGACTTGATATTTTTCAGAGTAAAACTAAACATGGTTTAGCAAACCTAATGTAAATAGCTGCTTAGTGAAACTAGAGAAAAGATAGAGGAAATGCTGTTTTTTCCGTCTTCTGTGACTGTTGAAAAGAGCATATGAAAATAATAAAGACATCACAAAAAATAAAAATAAAGAGCAATAAGTTGTTAGAGAAGAGCAATGATTTGAGATTAATTTATCAAATCACTTCATTTTATTGCAAGATATGGAAAACATGAACATTACAGACCAAAATGAACAAAAAGCCAAAAATGTCTGTGAATCTGCTACATCTATAGCATTGTTGGAAAAACAATTTGTACAGTCAAAAATCTCTGATGAAACTATTGATTTAATGAAAAAACAATAGACAATGAAGAATACTGGAAGTTTCATTAATAAACTGGAGTAGGTTAAACTTTGCAAGACCATAAGGAAATGTATCTAAGAAGAAATGTATTCAATCTAACATGAAAAAGACAATTGAAGAAAACAAAGGGATTAATAGAGCAAAATGCAAGAAAGAAGGTTTTTGCATTAAAACATGAAGATTGCTCTGTGTGTAGAACAAGACAGGAAATGTTAGAAATAATTGGAAAATTCGATGCAGAGCTATACAAAGATCAAGATCACTCAAAAGTAACAACAACCACAAATAAGGAAATGCCAGGTATCCTAATAGAGGAAGTATTAAATGCCATAAAAATCAATGAAAAATGGCAAAGCTTTAGGAAATGATTGTCTTATGGTTGAAATCCTAAAAGCTGGTGGTGACAGTTTACACAAGATACTAGCAAAACTATATTTGAGATGCCTTCGAGAAGAAAAAAAATACTCCCATGCATGGAAAAATTCTGAAGTGATTCTTATACACAAGAAAGGGGCCCAAGATGATTTAAAGAACTATCATCCAATAAGCCTTCTTTCAGTCATATTTTTAGTTTTCATCAAGATAATAGCAAAAAGAATATTGAGAACATTAATTGAGCAGGTAGGTTCAGAAATGGTTACAGCACAATGGATCACATTCAGGTTGTTCAACAAGTCATTGAAAGGCACAACAAGTGCACCATGCCTCTGTGCATGGCTTTCATTGACTATGAAAAGGTGTTTGACTTAGTATTCCAGCAAGCAATAATGAATGTATTGCTCAATCAAGACATAGACATTGCTTATATAAACTTACTATAATTAATATAGTAAAAAACAATAGTGACAATTTGCCTTAATGACCTTAAAGTGGAAATCAATATAGACTAGGTGATACAATATCACCTATCTTTTTCTTAGCCTGCCTTGTAAAAGTATTTTGTAAACTAGAATGGGCAAGAGTGGAATACAAATCAATGGCACCTATTTAAATCACTTAAGATTTGCAGATGATACTGTTCTCACAAAACCCAGGAAAGCTACAAAGACACATGCAAGAGCCAAGAATTTTTTTATATTTGGAGAAGAACTAGATGTGGTAGACCACTATCAATACCTTGGTTAATGGATCTCAGTGGAAGGTGATACCAAAAAAAGAAAAAAAGAAATTGAATGGTGCGTTAAATGTGGTTGGCAGGCATTTGGCAAGTTAAATGTAATTTTCAAGCCATTATATTGCTCAGAAATAATTTGATAACAATAAAGCTGAACAGATAGGCCAATAGGATTTGGCAGTAAATAATTTGTTTTGCTGGATAGAATATAGGAACATTTGGGAGCTAGAATACAAACCCATATTTGTACCATTTACACTTATACATAGCTAATTGCTCATAGGAATAGCAGGAAATAATTAAGGAAAGAGGACTCCCTTTAAAAATGAAGGAAGGAAGAGTTAAGCAAAGAGTGTAGCAGGTACAAGAGAATTAAGTACACCCACAGGCTATATTTGCTGGCACAGTGACTCAGTAGTTAAGATACTAGGCTTGTCAGCTGGAAAGCTGGCAGCTCAGCTTTGAGACCCAAGTGCCAAGCAATGGAGTGAACTCCTATCCTCGCCCCAGTTCCTGCCAGCCTAGCAGTTTGGAAGAATGCAAATGTGAATAGATAAATAAGTACCACTTCAATGGGAAAGTAACTGTGCTTTATGACATCATGTTGACCACGACTGCAGAAATGCCTTCAGATGGCACTGGACCAATGGCTTTGAAATGGTGGTGGCAACAATTAGTGGAGTAAAATCCACAGGGACTCCTTTACCTTTTTACAGACTATATTTTAATATTTTGTGAAACAGTCTGGACTTGACCATGCTCTTCTGAAACTGAATATCCTTGTTTAAATATTCCAAGATTTTTTTTCTTTCAATTTAAAATATGATTAAAATATGGCTGATTCGATTGTGTTGTTGCTGCCATAGGGAGTGGGTGGGTGGAGGTTTTCTTTAATACATTTTTATTATGCAATGAATTTTTCTAAACGTTGTAAGCTGCCTGGAGTCATCTATATGTGAATTGGACAGCAATGTAAATTTGTTTAATAAATAAATAATAAAATAGAGATTTAAAGAAGGCAATCCAACAAAGCAGTAAAATAAATCCATTTAATTTGTAAAATCTTATAAATAAATAGGACAATAAAATAGCAACAAAAGTTTTCTAAAATGGCAACATTATTGCATGATATTATTCAAGGAAATAAAGTAAGCATGGCAGTTTGATATCATATAATTGCTTTAGGAAATTTCTCAATTGGAATTTATTAGTTTAAAACTTTTTTTTTACTCATATAGGCTAAGGTCTCCAGAAACCAGGATCTTAACAGTGCCTGATGTGCAAATGATGTCATTCATCAAAAGCTTGGAAACAGGCAAACCAAAGAAAGCATGGATGTCCATAGTGTAGTCCTCAATTTACGGCCACAATTGAGTGCAAAATTTTTTGTTGCTGAGTAAGACATTTGTTAAGTGACTTTTACAGCCTTTCTTGCCACAGTCGTTAAGTGAATCACTGTAGTTGTTATTTTAGTAACACAGTTGTTATTCAATTACTTCCCCATTGAGTTTGCTTGTCAGAAGGTCGTAAAAGATGATCACATGACCCCGGGACACTGCAACAATCATACATATAAGACATTTGCCAAGCAACTGAATTTTGATCATGTGACCATGGGGATGCTGCAACAGTCATAAGTGTGAAAAACGGTCATAAATCACATTTTCAGTGCTGTTGTAACTTTGAATGGTCACTCAATGAACTGTTGTAAGTCAAGGACTTTATGTAGTTAAGGCAAGCTATTTGCAGAATGTTCAGCAAATAAAACATTTCTTTTTCACAGTTGGCAACTTTCACACATTTAGCAACTTTAAGACGTTGCTAGATTTGAAGTCCACATACCTTATAATTGCCATGCTTGAAAAACACTGCTCTGAACCTATCTGCTTAAGCAATAAAGTGACTGTGTCTTTCAAAAGTCCTGACCTAAGTATTCTGAAGTACTTTCCCAATTTTACCTGAGTGTGTGCAGATTCATAGCAGATTCATAGGGTATTGGCAAAGTGATATGAGAATGCTGGCGTACCTGGCTTCTGCACAGGTGCATGCATGCTCTAAAGGCCAGCAGAGGCCTTGAAGGAAGAATGCTTGTACAGCTCAACTGTACAGATAAATGCATATACTACTATGATGAACTATGTGATGTGATTTAATTTAAGAATATAAACTGATTTTCAGAAATATATACCATTCATAGTTACATGAACCATATACACTTACCACATTCACTTTCATTTCCATTTTTGCTTATTTTTATTTTCTGTTTTGAGGTTACAAAAAGTTTATTCCAATCCAATGTATTGCCATAGCAAAGGTGGCTGTTTTTCAAAATGGCTACATCTCCATCACTTATTTCCTTGAGAGACCGTAATCCCAAAGATTTGATATTCAGGTTGATGATTGCAAGAGCATATTGACCTCTAAGGTAGAAAGATTAGGAAAATATATCAAACAATTTATTAATTATTAAATTTAGAGTGATACCTAATTCTGTAAGTGGGCAGGGTACAACAGAAAGTCTAATGACAATATGTGGTCTATTTTAATTGAGCTCTGTTCAGTTAAAAATAATAGTAAGAACTGAGGTACGTCTTTTATCACTGGGAGAGAACTTTGATCTCCTGGTATTTTTAGAGCTTCTAAGCCATTCCTTCTTGTTTCGTAGTCTGTAATGACAACCCAGAAATCATTATTACATTGTATACTTTCAAGTCTGGTCAGAAAGCAGTTTCTTTCACTGGAGTTCTCCAAATTTCACATCAAACTCCAGTTCAGACAGAACCAAAATAGCTGGTCACATAGTAAAAAATTCTGAAATCCAGTCTGCTATTAGTCAAGAGAAACAGCCCCAATTTTTCATCATACCTATTTATTTAAAATAAGATTAAGTGGAAATATTTCTGAAGATATTTTCAATCAGTGAAACAACATAATTAGCATACAGAATCCAATATAGATTATGCATCTATTTTGTTTGCAAATTACTTTAACATTTTGAATCTGATGTACACTCTTCTAAACATCAACTTTGATGGAACAATCAAAAGGAAGAATAAATTAAATATTTTAAATCATGGTAGTAGTGCTGATACATTCTACTGTGCTTTCAGTTCATCTGCAAACTAGCAACTGATCCATGGCAGAACAATGATCTGGTCTTTTTAAAATATCTCAACTATACAGGTTTTTGGCATGCTGCTCTACTTACAACCGTCTTGTTCTACCTCGTATTACTTCCAGATTTTCAAAACTACTCAAATCAGTGACATTTTCAGGCCAAACCTGGATCAACAGAAACCCTAAAACAAATAAACAACATTTACAAAGTATTTCTGACAAAGAAAATGTATTTTCTCTTTTCCAGTTTTTATGAGAACATCAAAATGAATCATGGCATTTCAGGAAGCTTCAGCACAGAGTTATTTTAAACCTTACTTTATAAACAGTTTACATGCAGGCAACCAAATCAGCTAAACAGTATGAAGGCTGGGCTGTGAACTTAGCTGACCAAGCCACTACAGAAAACCCAGTTCTCCTTAGCAATTCATCTTGGAAATTGGATTATTTTGCAGAATACTCTGATCCTTATTTCTTTTACTAAATAAGACCTTTTCAGAAATGTAGAAAAGGAATGATCATAGGAGCCTAATATTTTGGAAAGAATCTTAAATGGTAAATATCTTTTTTTAAAGACAAATGTTCACTCTATTTCTATAATTTTCCTAAGCTATCAAAAACATGTATATTTCTTGTTCATCAGTCTTTTAAACAAGTTAAACGACTACCACACAAAGAAGTATATTAGCCAGACACTGAAATAGATGAGCTACAATAAACAGATGTTTCAAATGAACATTTCAAATGCAAAAACATTAAATACAGTAATATTCAAATGTTCAAATGTTATGTCAGGAGAGTATTTACTTGAGTGTGATTTGCACAGTTGAATAGAATAGTTAAATCTAGAAAGTTTAACCAAATTTCCCACCAGGAACATACATGAATTTTGACTAATGTATTTGTACTATTCCAGAGAAAACCACTCTGAAGCTACAATTAGTCTAGAATGCAGTGGTGAAAGTAGTGATGGGATTCATCGTACAGACATATGCCCCTTTGTTTTGTGATAAACAATGACTGCTAGTTGACTTCTGGGTGCAATTTAAGATCTTGGTTATTCCCTGTAATGTTATCCATAGCATAGATTACCTGAGAGCCTGCCTTCTCCATATGTTTCTGCCTGACAGTGAGATCAGCTATGGTGGGTCCTGTTAATTAAGTCCTGCTGATTAATCAATATCTTTATAAGACTGAGGAATTGTGCCTTCTCAGTGATGACTCCTGGCCTGTTGAATGATTCACTCTATTGCACTTGAAAATCCATGCTTCTCCCATCCTTCTGACTTTCCAAAAATGGTTAAAGACCTGTTTATTCTCCCACACCTAGACCCTAGCATGGTGGTTATGTCTTTTGGGGTTTTTTGGGTTCTGTTTTCATGGTCAGCTTTATTTTTTTTTTAAAGAAAAGTGCTGTGGCATTCTAAATTAATTAATTAAATTTTAAACTACTTAAAATTTGCAGCAGAGTTGGGCACTCTTGAAATTAAATGAATGAATAGAAATAACAATGTTTAAAAGACCATCTACTATATTTAAATTCATATAAATAAATTTAAAACATCTTACTAACCTGTGATTTCTTTAACAGTTTGAAAAATATCCAATTTCCTTATATCCAAAGGAGGTGTTTTTGTGTATTCATCACTATAAGAGAATAATTGAATACTTGAGTAATGATGTAATATATTTTTAGTATGTTTTATGTTCCATATTTGACTAATCAGCAACTTACCCAAAAAAGGATGCATGCAGAAATGTGAGATCCCCATTGATTGTGGTACAGTTCTTAAAATAATCAATATTGGATTCATTTACTGCAAGAACACCTTTCAGTTCACCTATTCCAATTCCACTGCACACTGAGAAAAAGGAAAAATGCAATGTTAGGAATGCTTTCAAGATATTTCATGTTGGATTAAGAATTAGAATCACACAGAAATATAAGCAGCAACAAGACACACAATTAATTTGATTTGAACCAAGAAAAATAGGGATAAACAGCATTCGTAATAAAGTACTGTTATCATAGGACATCTTCCTTGTTGATTATGTTTTATTTAATTCATTGATCAAATCTTTACAACTAATAAATCACCATAAACGGTCAACTGGGGTGGATAGACCAGTAACACATTCTATGAGCAAAGTGCACAAACTGCCGGTCTTCTAAGCAGGCTTTCGAACCTCCAGCATTCTACTCTAACGACGTCGGCAGTTAGCCGATGAAAGCTAAGTTTATCAAACAATTATTAGTTTATTAAACAGTTGTTTTTATATTTATCCAGGTGTTCAACTGTTTTTCTCAACACACACACACACACACACACACACACAGTTTACAACATAAACTTTTTTCAATTCATTCTAAATTTTGATACAAAATTCCTTTACAATATTCCCAAGACCATAAACCCATATATTGTCCTATATTTTTAATTAAAATCCATAATAAATATTTGTTTTCTAATTCTTCCTGTCTTTCTTGCTAAGGATATGATATTAATTAATTTTATCCATATAGTATAGCATTTTATCCATATAGTATAGCCTAGCCTAGCCTAGCCTAGCGTAGCATATGTAGCATAGCATTATTAGTAGTATTAGTATACTATCATATCCCACAGGTGCTTTTTCAACAGGCAACTGAAACTTTTTTGTTTTTCTTTGAAGATATTTCGCTTTTCATCCAAGAAGCTTTCTCAGCTCTGACTGGATGGTGGGGAATGGAATGATTTATATTCCTATCAGACAGCTGGTCATTTGCATTCATTTAGAGAGTCATTGAGGCCACCTGGAAGTTTGTCTGTATCCTCAGTGTCACCCGAGTAATAGAGTGTGGAGTTTTAAAAGTAACTTTTGAAAATTTGATGTTTGGTCCATGTGGACTTGAATCGCCTGTTGAGCATAGCAGGTCAGTGGCAAAATCACTAAAACGGTGCATGTTGGGCTGCTTGTGTATCGAGTCTGACACATGCATACTTCGTCTGTGCTGGTTGTGATGCTGCTGCTCAGTTTATGGTATTGCTCGGTTTGTGATTGGTCGTGTGGTCGCACGCTGAGTGCTTACTGCAGACAGCAAGTGTTATGTTTCATTACACAACTGATGTGTGTGGGTGTGTGTACAGTGACTGACTACGTGCGAAAGGTAAATAATTTCTTTATTTTAAAAACTTGTTGGTGAATTGAAAATCTTTTTTTAATTTTTAGTGTAAAATTTACTATGAACATTTGCCTTAAATACAATAAATTAAATTTATGTTAAGAACTGAATATATATTTTTTTAAATAGAAGATTAACAAGATGTGAGTTCTGGCACCTTTTTTCTTACTTAAGAAGCACTGCTAATACATAATAACCTCAAGGATAACAACAGAGCCCCTGAAGAGAACACTGTCATCAACAGGCCTCCTCCAGGACTGACAGGGAGAAACTCCTGAGGGATTTTGGGGTGAGGACAGAAGTCCAAAGATCTCAAGGTGACAGTGGGTTGATCCCTACGATGAGACTATAAGGGTCATTTGAGTGCTTACTTTGTTTCTTCTTGCCCAGGTACGAGATAAGCAGAGTGGGGGTGGGTAAATGTAGTCCCCTATGTGGCCGTGGCAGAGACCAGCTTATGGGAGGATGAGAGATTGTGAAGATTGTGAGAGTAGTGTCAGAGCCCCTCAATTGTTTTTGCCTTTAACCCTTCCCTTTTCCCTTTCCTGCTTTTGACTATGTATTTTCTGGGCTTGCCCTACTATTGGGGGAGAGTGCTTGCAGGGGAATTATTATCTTCTTTGTTCTACTCTGTGCGAAATGCCCTCCCTCCAAGTGTGAGGAATGCGACCTTAATTTCTACCTTATTTCCAGACAACGGAGATGGGACTGTTGAGAAATGAAACCAGGAGACACCTTGAGAAGCCTGCTAAATTTTCAGCTTCTCATAAATGGTGGCACCGGTGGATTGGCTAGGTTTCCACCAGACGGTTGGACACTGGTAGAGGAGTTGTGAATTGCCTTTTTTTATAATATTTTATTGATTTTCTCATTTTACAATTGGGTATTTAAAAAGCTGAAACGTGTCTAATTGGGTTTAGGGTTTGGCACCAGTCAAGACCTTAGGATAGGGGAGAGAATGCAGCAGTTGTCATTTGAATATATTTTGGCTTTCATTTACAAGTCTGTGCATAGGAATTGTCAAGCAGCTAATGGATAAAAACGTTCAAATTCATTCTCAATTGGAATCCAATAATAGAGTGGATCTATTGGAGATGCCCAGGGAGTGACATTTTGACCCTGTTAGATCTGGGGAAGTGGACAAGGTTCTTGGAGCTGTTAGTACAACTACTTATTAAATCCTTGCCCCTACTGATTGGCAAAAATCTCCAGAAAGGTCTTCCAATGAAGCTACTTTCCAGTGGTTTTTTTTTTTTTTTGTTATTTTTTTTTAAGACATTTCACTTCTTTGAGAACTGAAGAAGCTTCTTGGATAAGAAGTGAAACATTTTCAAAGAGAAGAAAACAAGAAAAGTCCAGTTGCCTTTTGAAAAAATGCACCTTTGGGACAATCATAACCATATCTATAGATATCTGCAGAAGGGTGACTTGCAAGTGGATTCAAGTGTTAATTAATATAGATAGCCTTAACTTACAACAGTTCATTTAATGACTGTTTGAAGTTACAATGGCACTGAAAAAAGCGACTTAAGACAGTTTTTCAAATTTATGACCCTTACAGGATGCCCATAATCATGTGAACAAAATTCAAATGCTTGGCTCCTAACTCATATTTATGACAGTTGCAGTGTCCTGGGGTCATTTGATCACCTTTTGCGAGCTTCTGTCAAGTAAAATCAATGGGGAAGCCAAATTCACTTGACAAACTTGTTACTACTAGTAACTGCAATGATTCACTTAACAACTGTTAAAGGTCGTAAAATGGAGGAAAATTCACTTAATAACTGCCTTGTTTAGCAACAGAAATTTTTGGGCTCACTTATAGTTGTAAGTCAAGGATTACCTGTACATTGCAGCAGGAGGAAATATTCCTGGCCCATTTAACGAAGCCTTGGTCAATCTCCTCCTTAAGAAACTTTCCCTGGTTCCCATCTTTCTGGACATTTTTGTCCAGTTTCCCACCTCTCCTTTTTAGCAAAGATGGTGGAAAAAGTTGTTCTACTGCAGCTTCAGTGGATTATCTGACTCCTTCTAGTCGTGTTTCAGCTTGATTATGGGACAGAGACAGCATAGGTCACACTTGTAGATGATCTCTGGCTGAAGTGGGATGGAAGTAGTACATCCATCCTTGCTCTTCTTGCCTCTTGGCCGCTTTTGATATTATTAACCATGGTATCTTTTGGAGCCAGTTGTAGGACTGGTGTTGGGTGATGCAGTTTTGCCTGTTTCAACTCCTTTCTTCAAGGCAGATCACAATTGGTGATGACAGAGAGTGAGAGTTTACAGTTGTTCCTTTGTGGCATGCTGCAGAGCTCAGGGCCCTCTCCATTCCATTTTAGCATTTATATGAAACCACAGGGTTAGATCATCCAACACCATGGGATGAAGTATCATTAATGTGCCAATAATATCCAACTCTGTATTTGCTGATCCAAGTGATACTATAGCTGTCCTCTCACAATCTGCAAGCTGAAGGAATTTAGGTGGGGACCAATAGGCTTCAGCTGAACCTGGATAAGGTGAAGTGGTAGTGGGTTCAAGGAGCTTTCGGATCTGGAGGTTTATCATCTTTAGTTCTTATAGAATTGCATTATCCCAGACAGATCCAGTGCACAATCTGTGGCTTCTCCTAGATTCATGACTCCCGACTCAAAGAGCAGGTGACAGTTGTGGCTAAGAGAGCACTTATGCAATTTCGTGTTGTGTGTTAGTTGTGCCCTTTCCTGGATTGTGAAGCTTTGTGCACAATCCATCATGCCCTGGTTATCTCCTGATTGGATTATTACAATGCGCTTTACATGAGGCTACCCTTGAAAAATATTCAGAAACCACAATTGGTAGAGAATACAGTGGCATAGAAGGCTCCTCAGGTGATATATGTGACACCATTGTTACATGAGCTGCACTAGCTGGCAATTTGCTTCCAGGTCCAATTCAAGGTATTGGTCATTAGCTTTAAAGCACTTTATGGCATAGATCCAGGGTATCTGAGGAACTGTCTCAAGCTGATGGGACTAGCTCTCTCCATTCATTCCATTGGAAATGCCCCACTTTGTTATCCTGCCAGCAAAAGAATTTTGGCTGCTGGAGTCCAGGAGAAGAACCTGGAATATTCTCCCAACAATAATGAGGTCTGCTTCCATATTCCTGGTTATCTGAAAGAGCCTAAAAATTTGGCTCTGCTGCTTGGCTCAAGGCCCTAACAGAGACTTGGTATGATGTGGATGGTTGACTGGATCCTCAATCCCAGGCTGCCCATCATCTTGGTTTATAACATTGTAATTTTTCTATTTTAATGATTTCCTAGCACTTTAATTTTTTTATTATATTGCAAGTCAACCACAGTCACTGTATCAGTAAAATAGGAAGCATAGAAATTCAATAACTAAGTAAATAAAAACATATAATCTATCCAAAGTTCCATTTAATAAATCCCAAATATTTGCGATACATGAGATACATCATTAGACAATAGATTGTATCATTTTTTACTGCGGAAAAAACATTGTGTTGCATTAAAATAGATACATCTTTAGAGTTTAATTATGCATCTATTATATTTTCTCTATTTCTGCAAAATCACATTCATGTGTCATATATATCATTCAGTTAACAGAAAATGATTAAACTGATTTATTTAAATTTATAACAACCTAAAAGTAGTGTACAGTACATACATTGTATTTAATAATTGTTCTATATAATTAATTAAATTATATTTAAATATATTGAATTTTATAGTAGGCATTTATTCTAACACTAAAGTTCTATCCTGATTATATCAAATTATTCTAGCATTGTCACTGTGTGTAATTTCATTTACAATGAAATAGGATTTGCAGTGGTTTAATCAAAAACAAAATAACAGTGTTGACAATATGCATAAAAATCCCTCAAAATCATAAAAGTTTGGTTGTTCTATTTTGGGCAATCTTGTTTTGATATCTTTCATGATTATTTTGAGGACAGGAACTTGGTACTTTTCATTCATCTTCTTACATATGGGAATTGCTCATTGGGAACTCTGATCAGAGAGGACACATTTATTAAGTATTAGTACTGCTTTATAAAACCCTAGTGAGACCACACCTGGAATACTGCAACCAGTTTTGATCACCATACTACAAAAAAGATGTTGAGACCTTGAAAAAAGTTCAGAGAAGAGCAACTAAGATGATCCAAGACCTGGAGACTAAAACATATGAAGAATGGCTGCAGGACTTGGGTTTGGCTATTCTAAAGAAAAGAAGAAATAGGGGCGACATGATAGCAGTATTCCAGTATTTGAGAGGGTGCCACAAAGAAGAGAGGGTCAAATTATTCTCCAAAGCACCAGATGGCAGAACAAGAAACAATGAGTGGAAAGCAACATGGATATCACATATGTATCAAAAAATGACATGACGCCACATTCAATATTTTCTCCTGAAGGACTTAGTCTGGAAAATCAAGGGCCTCCAGAAGCAATACTTCAAGGGAAAATAAATACTTTCCAGGAGGAAATATATGTAATGTTAGGACAAATACAAATGACAATAGACTCAAACCATGAGGAAATTTGAAACAACTTTGATGATTTAAATAAGCATATTTCCAATCTAAATCTACAATTAAAAAATACCCAGGAAATAACAATAAATGAATAAATAAATCAAATAATAGAAATTAGAAGAGTATGATCAAATTGATGAAATAACAAAGGAAAAGAATTACAATTTGACACAAACAGGAAAAAATCTATACGATTCTGATACAACAAGAAAAATGGAATGGACTACAGAATTATCAGGAGAACCATGAAAGTTTGGGAGACAGAAAGTATTCATCTTACTTATTTCATCTTTTGTATTCCCAACAACATTTGTAAAAATACAGGAACTGCTGGGTAAGCGGATTACATCAACTTGGAAAATTACTTGGCAAAAGAAGAAGATCAGAGACAGATAGAAGAGATTTGACTCGCCCTACCAGATGGACTATTATGTGAATAAACATCACAAAGCTATTGATCATAAAACATGTCTGAGGGATGTGACCATGTGGGATTTGCCTAATGACAGCAGCTGGGACTGCCGGAATTGCTGTTGTAAATCAGTGCAATAACATGACGTCAGTCCGGCAGTCCCAGCTGCTGTCAATAGGCAAATCCTACATGGTCACATCCCTAGTCATGTGATCACCATTTGCAAAGTCCTGCCAGTGTATCCTTGTTGACTTTGTTGGAAGCCAGCAGTGAAGGTCACAAATGGCAGCCACATGACAAATGGCATCCATAGGACACTGCAATGTTATTATTGCCAAGCATTTGAGTTGCAGTCATGTGACCCCAGAGATATTGTGACATCACAACTACTCTACATTCAGCACTATCATAAGTTTGAATAGTCTCTGAATGAGTGATTGTTTAACAAGGATTTCCTGTAAATGATAGGAATAGTTAGATTGTGAAATCAATTTGTGGAAGGCTCTCCTTTCATATCTTCAAATGGTCATTTAATAGTTATCTCTCTGGCATCCCTGACATTAGATTCTCTGTTGCAACACTTGTCATCTGGAACACCATTTTTCTGAGATTTGTTGGGCTGCCATCCACCATGTTTAAAAATTCTGGAAAATCTGACTATTCACTAGCCTTGATTACACTGAATAATGAGTCTTATATATTGTATTACTTTAAAATGGCTTTCTTTTACCAGATTTTTTTTAATTTATTTTTTTATTGTACCCTGTCCAAATTAACCATGGAGTTGGATGGCCTTACAAAAAGAAATCATAATAAACTGATTTTCTACTGGGCAGAGGGATGATTGTCAAATGGCCCCATACAATTCTATGATTCCCTGATATGGACTAACATTATTAATCAACATGTGCAGTTAACATTATAAATCTAGTGAAATGATTAAAGCTTCTCTATCAGGTATCATATTAATATGTAGAATGCCTACTGTTAGCAATAATCCTTTGAGCTGTTGCATAATTTCTTTCTCTATCCTTCATACCTTTGCTACAAGGGCCATCACATTTTTTACATTTTCGAATGCCATTCTGCTCCACTTCTGTCGAGTCTGCATTGCATGATCGGACACATGAGCCATGGTCTGTTACTACATAGTTATCTAAAAAAATTAGGAAGAGAAAGAGGGAAAAAAAACCAGATAGTCATAAGGGAAAAAAGGACACTTGTCGCAGAATTTGTGTTATTTCCTTGGTTGATATAATTTTCATTTCCAGCCAAAACACACATTCTACAAAAAAAATACACAAACATACTCTCCAAATCAACTATAAGCTTGTCAGTACAAATGGTATGTAATTTTAGTAAGATTTAATACATTTTAAAAAATGGCAGATCAAATATAAACTTCAGAATGAACTGATGTGCAAAAGAACCTTGCCAGTATCTTGAACAACTGTATGTATAATTCATAGTAGTAGCTTCTCTGTAGCATACCTTTGAAACATTTCAGTGAATTCCAAATGTATGTTAAAAGTTCATTAGACTCTTCATACCAGGTCATTTGTGAAAAAAAACCCCTCATTTCTCTAGAATGAAATTTCAGAAACCTGAACCAGTTTTTGAAAATATGTTAAATATGTGGTTTCTGGGAAGGAGATCAGTTTAGGAGTAAACAGAATTTTTTTTTGAAAAGCTCAAAATTCACTAATTTTGCTAATTAGTAATACTAATTAGTAATTACTATTAGCAACAATACATCATGAGTAATTTCATGATCTGGTCTGATTGAGAGAAAGTTCAAAAGAATCACATATTTAATAACATCAATAACAACAATAGTTGGAAGGGACCTTGGAGGTCTTCTAATCCAACCCTCTGTTTAGACAGGAAACCCTATACCAGTGATGGTGAACCTTTTAGAGACTGAGTGCCCAAAAACCCACCCTGCCCCCCTGCTCCGCTCCATTCCAGCCACACTTGCCACGCTGCCCATCAGCTCACCATAGGGGATCATGAAGAGACTATAACATTTGTAGTGACCCCTGGCATGGAGTGCCCCCTTATTCTGGGCATGGCATGGCTAGCCAAGTGGAACACATGGGTGAACTGGAGGACGGGAGAACTAAGATTCCACGATGGATGTACAGTAAAGACCCCAGCTCAGCTCTGAAATGGGGGAAGTCCCTCCAAAAGAGCAGTGGGGGGGAAGGAGTTACAAGACATCCAGAGGAATACAGGGACTTAGCTGAAGTGTTCAGCGAGGAGAAATCTGAAGAACTGTCCCCTCACCGACCCATGGACTTCTCCATCAAGATCCTCCTAGGGGCAAAATTACTCAAGCCAAAACTATATTCTATGAGCCCATGAGAGCTCAAGGAAATGTAAAGAAAAAAATATAGAAAGGGGTTTCATCCAGCTGGTGAAACCAAAGACCGCAGTCCAGGTGTTATTTTGAGAAAAGAAAGATGGGACTCTCTACCTCTACATGGACTATAGATCTCTGAACATAGTGAGCGAGAGTAAGCTATACCTCTTCCCTCTCATGAAGGACATGCTAGCACACCTATTGAAAGGAAAAATCTTTTCGAAACTGGACTTGAGGGAGGCATATTATAGGATTAGAATTAAAGAAGGGGATGAGTGGAAAACTGCTTTCAATTGCCCCTTAGGATGTTACCAATTCAGAGTTTTACCCTACAGCCTTCAAGGGGCACCCATAGTATTCATATAATTAATAAATGAAGTGCTCCGAGAGCACCTGTATAAAGGGTGCTTGTTTACCTGGACAATATCCTGATATTCACTGAAACAAAAGAGACATGTGAAATTAGAACTGTGCTGAAAAAACTCCAAGCAGCTCACCTGTATGCTAAGCTGTCTAAGTGTGAATTTCATAAGGAAAAAATTGACTACCTGGGGTACCACATCTTGCTGAGTGGCATAGAGATGGACCCTGAAAAAGTCTGAGCTGTACTAGAATGGGCTCTGCCCTGCACCAGGAAGCAATTGCAAAGTTTCCTTGGATTTGCTAATTTTTACCGGCAATTCATCCTTTCCTTTGCACAGATTATGCTACCAATTACTAACTTGTTAAAGACAAAAGGGGAGGGGAAACCCAAACTGAGTCAGTCATTGAAAGGGACAGTAGAATGTCAAACCACATTTGAAAGATTAAAAAGACTATTTTCTGCAGAGCCAGTTCTAAGGCACCCTGACACCAAAAAACTTTCAAAATTCAGGCTGATGCTAGTGATGTGGCTTTGGGGGCAGTACTATTACAAGAGAATGATGAAGGGAAATTGCATCCTTGTGCATACACATTAAGGAAACTCACAGAGACAGAGCAAAGGTGGGCAGTTTGGGAGAAGGAGGCTTACGTGGTCTAATGGGCACTTCTAAACTGGCAGCACTTCCTGGAGGGGAACAAAATTCTTTTCCATGTGTGGACCGACCACAAAAACCTGGAAGCGCTAAAAACACCCAAGAAACTGACACCTAAGCAAGTGAGATGGTTGTGATATTTCCAGCTGTTTAATTTCACTCTAAAGCACTTGCTGGGGAAAAATATTCCTAGCAGATGCATTGTCCAGACTGCCCCAGTAGAATAGCCACCAAACAGAAATAACAGACCCACTTATGCCAACAAAACAATTAGCAGCACAAGTCACCACCCGAGCACAAGCCAAACTTCAAAAGCCCCTAGCGAGCCAAGCAGGGATTGAATTCAAAAAAGCACTAGAAACTGACAAATGGTTCTTAAGCCACAAGAACCTATGCATTGTGACTGATGGGTTACCATGGGTCAGAGGAAAGCTGTATGTCCCAAAGAGCCAGAGACTGACATTCATGCAGCTATGCTATGATTCAAAATCAGCTGAACATTTCAGATTCGTAAAAACTTCACACCTGGCAGTTTTGGTGGCCATCAATAAAATAGGACATTGAAAGTTATGTGGCCAGTTGTCCAACTTGTGCAGCAGCGAAGAGAATGCAAGGAAATACCCCAGGCTTGTTGCAACCAGTAGCAACCCCATCAGCACCTTGGAGAGAAATCTCTATGGACTTTATTGTGGAGTTACTGGAAAGTGGGGGGAGCACAGTCATTTGGGTCATGATGGATTTATTCTCTAAACAAGTACATTTTATCCCATGCCAAAAAATCTCCAATGCAAAGACACTTGCAAATCTGTTCGTCCAGCATATTTATCGATTTCATGAAGCCCCGCAACAAATCATATCAGATAGAGGGGTACAATTCACATCAGAATTCTGGAAAGCATTCCTAGAACTGTTGGGGACCACACAGGGGTTGTCATTTAGTCATCATCCATAGATGAATGGTGGGACTGAACGGTCGAACTCAGTACTGGAACAGTACCTACATTGCTTCATTAACTACCAGCAGGACAATTGGACTGACCTGCTCCCATTTGCAGAGATCACCCATAACAATGCAGTGCATTCTAGCATGGGCTACACTCCTTTCCAGGTGGTGATGGGACAAAGTTTCACCCCGATGCCAGAACTCCCATTGGATGACCCGACCATCCCTTCCCTGAAGGAGTGGATTGCACAATTATGGAATATCTGGCCAGTTGTGAGAAAAGTATTAGACGAAGGTAGGGAAGCATATAAATTCCAAGCAGATAAGAAATGAAGCAAACCTAAACCATTTCAAGTAGGAGAGACAGTTTACCTGTCAACAAAGTATCTAAAATTCTTGCAACCCTCAAAAAATTTGTAGGACCAAAATTTGTAGGACCATTTCCTATTAAAAGAATAATCAATTCTGTCACTGTAGAATTGGAGCTCCCAAAGACACAGACAGGTTCACTCAATTATCCACTGCAGCCTTTTAAAACATGAACTGCAATAGCCCTTAAGGCCATTTGCAGCTCCTTCCTCTCCTCTAATCATGGTAGAAGATAAACAACATTTTAAATAAAAGAAATCCTAGATTCCAGAAAACATCATGGTTCCACCCAATATCTAATAGCATGGAAACAACTGCCACCTTCCCAAAATGAGTGGGTCCAAAAACATCATATTAGAGCCAATCGACTACTTAGTAAATTTCATGCTGCATACCCGGACAAACCAGACTAATCCTTCTCTCCCTTTTTTCTGTTTTATTTCTACAGATGAATCTTTATTTTTTTCTAAGGGGGGCAGGATGTCAGAACCTATTTTTCCCTGGGAGGGATTTATCTAATTTCTTTCCTATTTCTTTCTTTCTGAGGGTTCTGCCATTTCCCTGAGGGGGAGGGGGAGGCTCTGTGATATGTTATTCTGCTTTGCTACAATGTATCCTTTCCTCTGTTCCTGCATTCTGACTCTTTGAACTGTCTCTCCCTTGATGTTACCTTGGGGTAAGAAAGGAATATGCCTCCGGCCATGTGGCTTATCTTTCTTGGGATGAGGTTTTGAAGTGGGCCCTGACACTATCCCTCTGTTAATGCAGCCTAACACTGTGTTGGCTTTTTTTGTCAGCTGGAGCACACTGCTGGCTCATATTTAAGTGATTGTCCACTAGGATTCCGAGATCCCTCTTACAATTACTACTATTGAGCAAGGTACCACATATACTGTAATTGTGCATTTGGCTTTTCTTGCCTAAATATAGAACCTTTCTTTTTTCACCATTGAATTTATTTTGTTAGATAGTGCCCAATGTTAAAGTCTGTCAAAATTATCTTAAGCCTATCTTCTGGAGTGTTGGCTATTCCTGCCAGCTTAGTGTCATCTGCAAATTTGATGAGTTCCCCATCTATCCCCTCATCCAAATCATTGATGAAGATGTTGAAGAGCACTGGGCCCAGAACAGAGCCCTGGGGCACCCCACTACACACTTCCCTCCATGTAGATGCAGTTCTATTGAGGACCATATGCTGAGTATGGCTGGTCAGCCAGCTATGAATCCATCTGGTGGTGATGCAGTCTAACCCACATTTTTCTATCTTATCAAGTAGTAGGTTGTGATCTACTTTATAAAATGCCTTATTGAAGTCCAAGTAAATTATATCCACAGCATTCCTCTTGTCCACTAATTTTGTCACTTGATCAAAGAATGAGATAAGATTTGTCTGGCACAATTTGTTTTTGACAAAACAATGTTGGCTTTTGTTTGTGACTTTATTTGCCTGTAGGTGCTTGCTAATTCATTGCTTGATAATCTTTTCCAGAATCTTCCCAAGTATTGAGGTCAGGCTGATAGGTCTGTAGTTTCATGGATCCATTTTTTTTTCCTTTTTGGAAGATGGGAACTACATTAGCTCTTTTCTAGTCCTCTGGTAGTTCCCCGGCGCACCAAGATCTTTGAAAGATATAGTTCACTGGTTCTGAGATCACGTCTGCCCATCTCTTCAGAACCTTGGGGTGTAATCCATCTGGTTTGGGTGATTTGAACTCATGATTTGAACTCATCTAACTCACTTACCATTTTCTTGCCTATTTAACTTGTGTTTCTAATCTGTTTTTATGGTACTGTTTTTGATAGGTTGGACTGTTTTTTCCCTTTGTGTAAAGACGGATGCAAAAAATGAGTTAAATAGTTCTGCTTTCTCCCTGTTGCTTGTCACCTTCTTGCCACTTTCTACCATTAATGGACAAATCAGTTCCTTTTTCTTGTTTTTTATATGTTGAAACAAGTTTTTTTTGTTATTTTTGACTTTTGTCACAAGCCTTAGTTCATTTTGAGCCTTAACTTTCCTCATTTCATCTTTGCAGGCTTGGGCTATTTGCTGATATTCTGCCTTAGTTATGTGCCTCTCTTTCCACTTTTTATACTTGTCCTCTTTGTCTTTCAATTTATCAGAGAGTTCTTTATGCAGCCGGCTGATTCTTTTGAGAGATGTTATTTTTCTTCTTTATTGGTACTGTGCTAGACTGGGCTTTTATTATCTCACTTTTTAAAATTTCCCAAGCTTCTTGTTTACCCCTTTAGGATTTTCATCCATGGACTCCTTTCCAAGCTCTAAGTTTATTGAAATTAGCTCTCTTAAAGTCCAATACCCTAGTTTGACTATGTTCTATTGCTTGTGCTTACATAATGTTGAATTTCAATATTGCATGATCACTCTCTCCCTCAAGATTCCTGTAGCTTCAACACCTCCTATTGTTTCATTTCTGTTAGTGAGAATTAAGTCCAATATGGCTGATTCTCTAGTTCCCTTCTCTACTTTTGGGGAGACAAAGTTGTCTGCTACGTTTGTCAGGAATCTGTTTGATCTTCTAGTTGTTGCAGAGTTTGTCTCCCAATTGATGTCAGGATAATTAAACTCTCAAATTACTATTGTGATGTGCTTCCTACACACCTTAGTTAACTGACTAGCAAAAAGCTCTTCTATTTCTTCTGTTTGGTTGGGTGGCCTATAGTATACACCTATGGCAATGTCATTTCTCCCCTCCTCTTTTATATTGACCCAAATGCATTCAAGACAGTTTTTTTTAATCATTGTTGTGCTCTATTTCTGTAGAGATGTAGTTGTTTCTTATAGAGAGAGCAACTCCATCTCCTCTTTTATTTGGTCTGTTTCTTTTAAATAACTTAAATCCCTCTAGCTGTGTGTTCCATTTGTGGATTTCATCCCTCCAAGTTTCCGTAATGGCAACGATATCATATCTGTCTTCATTTACTTGAATTTCTAATTCACCCTGTTTATTGCTCATACTCTGTGTGATAGTGAATTGACATTTGAGTCCTTTATGTTTGGCCCTGTGTTTAATTTCTATATAACCTGTGTGGTACCTGAATTCCCCTACTTTCTTACCACCTGTTTGATTAGTGCACTTGGTGTGGTACTCACTATTAAAAGCTTGATTTTGCTTGACAGCAAGGTTGATATTCTTATCCGCCCATACATGTATGTTATATGCACTGATAACCCTATTAGTTTTAGATTGCTGGAGACAGGAATGTTCTATATCAGTGATGGCAAACCTTTTAGAGACTAAGTGCCCAAACCATAACCCCAAACCCACTTATTTATCACCTTGATGTTGCTCATGGGGGGATGCCTGTGGGTGCTGGGCAGGGTTGGGGGAGATCCAGGGGGTCTCTGTGGGTGGGGCAGTGGGCAGGAGGCTCGACCTGTGGAGTGAGGCAGGGGACAGGGTGGGGGTGCCATTGCCACAGGACAAGGCAAGATGAGGCAGGGGATGGGGCGGCTGCTGCCTGATACCATCAGCCCTCGCACACCGAGGCCAGCGAGAGCATGGGGGCCAACAGTGTCCGTCAGCAGCCACAGCCTGCCAGCCCCTCAACAGGTGCACTCTGGGGCTCTGCAGCCCATTGCCAATACCAGGCCAGCCCTCTAGCAGCAGACAGAGTAGGGGGGGAAGTATGTGATGCAGACCGTCGGATGTGCCTACTCCGTCCCATGTGTTTTTGCTTGCGGTTGGAGAGCAGGTCGCTGTTGGTCATCTTGGCCCCCTTGCAGATCTTGCCCTTGGCCCGAACATGGAGCCTGTTCCCCTCATGCAGCCAATGCACCTTGGCCCCACGTCGGGCCACCATGGTGGCCTAATGGACCTGCATGAGCTGCTGGTGGCAGCAGCATGCGTGCCCACAGAGAGGGCTCTGAATGCCGCCTCTGGCACACTTGCCATAGGTTCACCATCACTGTTCTATAACAATTAACTCACTGTCCCCGTGGTTTAATTTAAATATTTTTCCAGAAAATCTGTGAATTTAATGCCAAATAGACTGAATAAGGAAAATTTGGAACTGGAACATCCTAGATGGATGCAATGCTGAAATCAGTTTTGTCATTTTTCAAAAGTGGTAGAGGTAACTGAGCATCTACTTTTTTATCACACTGAAGTCTCCCTGGCTACTCACATTTTCTAACTGAAAAACACCATATAGAAAGATACCCATTTGATACCTAGAATTAAATTCTGATGGAAGCTATACAAATTACACCTGTCAAAGAGCTGTCAGAATATTCACACACATTCCTTATATATAAACTCCTTACTTAATTTATTAGATTTTCCCTAAATTCTTTTCTCCATTGAATTAAATCACAAGAGTAAATTCTTATAGATGTATATGTTTATAAATAAATTCCTTCAAAACATATTCCAGTATTTCATTTATTTTTCACAAGTTTAACACTGCATACCTACTACTATATTTCTGATTCTTCATTTTACAATGCATAGATGAGCATATAGGAATTATTTCCCGAAATACAAATTTGGAGTTAATATGAAGCATCCCAAATAAAAGGTAAAAAGAAACTTAACTAGCTTTGTTAAATAGTATTTAATATAAATAATAATATTTATTTAACTTACGTGGACAGTTTTTTACACAAGTTGCTCCAAAACTGTACTTTCCTTCTGGGTTATCTTCCAATTGATAAGTATAGGGATTGTATATTTGTAAAGCTGGGCAAGACTCCTTGCAAGTTGCATCATCCCAAAACTTGCGACATGCCTATAAAAAGGTAATCCAAATAATCTTTTGTTTTAACAGTGTCAGGAAATGACAACAGTGGATTTTAAACAATTACATAAGACTAAAATTCAAAGAATTCAATATTCCATCCATCCAAGCATTAATGTAGACAGACAAGACAGAAACATTATTTTTGTCATTGGCCAATAAAGATACATTCAATAAAATGAACAACACAAACTATCCCCTAACAACAAGAATTATTGTGGGCAAAGTTTACACTAATGTACACATAAGAGAAATAAATTTATTTTGATGGTGTAACAGATCAGTGTTCCAGAAATTTGACTAAAGGAGGAATAATCAACTGGCTATGAATATTCTTGTAGAATTAGCAATACAGAAGAACATGGCTCCGTTTTCTATGGTATTCATTTTCACAAAAGCAATAATGAGTTTCCTATGGAGTTTTCCTATATTTCTCTTCTAGGGCAGATGAGGGGAGACCAAATAAAAAAATGTAAATATAATATGGGACTAACTAAATACAGCTAGGATAATTATAACTAAAAGAAATCGTAGTCAGTTATATTATGTCAAAATACAACCTTACTGAATTTTCAATTTAAGAATGAGATTAAAGCACAAAGACTTATTTTTTTCTATATATTTGTTATATTACTTTTATTGCTTTGTTTATTTATTGTAGTTAATACTTTAAAAAAAAACTAAGCACAGTAATCTGATTTTTTATTTCCTTTTTTGTAGTGCTAAAACGCTAGGCAAGTTTCTATAGCTTCCTTACCAAGCAGTCACTTTCTTTAGGACCTGTACATCCTGCTGCGCACTGAGTATGACAGCAGTCACTTGGCAATCTTCCCTTGCATCGACCTGAGCACTGTGCTGCACAGTCAATCTTAGTTACTGAAAGTTGAAAATAGCACAAGTTAAACTACATGTTTTACAAATAAAAATATTTATTAAAATATTTGAATGCCTTTCAGAAATCATAAATGTTATTTGACTGAGTCAGAGTTTAGTTACAGGTAGTTTGTATGGTCACTATGGTTATAAAAAGATGGATATAGAAAAGATGTTGAGATTCTGGAAAGAGTGCAGAGAAGAGCCACACAGTTGATTAAGAGGCTGGAGGCTAGAACTTATAAACAATGGTTGCAGGAATTAGGTATGTCTAGTCTAGTGAAAAGAAGGACTAGGGGTGACATGATAGCAGATTCCAGTATTTAAGGGGCTACCATAAAGAAGAAAGGGTTTTCAAAGCACCAGAAGGCAAGGCAAGAAACAATGGATAGAAACTAAGCAAGGAGAGAAGCAACATGGAATTAAGGAGAAACTTCCTAACAGTGAAATCAATCAACCAGTGAGACAGGTTGCCTTCAAGAGTTGTGGATGCTCCAGCATTGGAGGCTTTTAAGAAGAGACTGGACAGCCATTTGTCTAAAGTGGCATAGGGTCTCCTGCTTGAGCAGGGGGTTAGACTATAAGATTTTCAATGCCTGTTCAACTCTGATGATGTTCTGTTTTTGACCAGCAAAGTCAATGGGGAAGCTAGAATCACTTAACTACTGTTTTACTTAACAGCTGCAGTGATAGCTATGACAAGAAAAATTATAAAATGGGGCAAAATTCACTTAACAACTGTCTCACTAAACAACCGAAATTTTGGGCTCAATTGTGGTCATAGGTTGAGGACATGTACACTGTTTCCTTCTGAGACCTAGGAATCTGAAACCAATGGAAACAAGATTTACATTTTGCTTTTGCAAAATGAAGCATAATCAGCTGATCATTATGGTATAAGAGGCCAGAAGATATAAAAAGTCTACTTAATTTACTTACACATTAAATCACTATCCTATCCTATCCTATCCTATCCTATCCTATCCTATCCTATCCTATCCTATCCTATCCTATCTCAACAGAAGAGGGGGAAAAAACCCAATGTATGTTCTTACATATTTGGCAATTCTTTTCGCCAGCACCCCAACAATGCCCTCTTGTGCAATTCGGATGACAAGGAGAACCTAAGGGGGAAAAAATACAGAATGTCTCTGAATATTATAAATATATTCATGCCAATTTTATGGAAAGCTCAAGTTTTCTAGGAAAGTTTTTTTTCACAAGTCAATAATAATTGTCAGTTTTGAAGTCACATTCTGGGCACTATGAATCCCAAACCCAGTATTTTACCAATTGCCAAATCTTTCATGCTTTGCTTTCATGTGGATCTCTAAGTATTACACTTGCATCCAACTAATCAGTGGTGTCATGTTTATTAATAGTTGAAAACTGGACCGTTTAAATACAATTATTTATTTACCAATACTATTTATTTAAAATTATTTATATGTGCTCTGCAATAAAGCTGAATATTGATTTCTAAGGGTAAGATTGAGTATCAGAAAAATAAGTGAAAGTTTACATCAAGGAAACAAATACATTTTGTTTGGGGATTTTTTCCTTCCAAATTTAAGATACATTTACATTTCTTTATCAAGAAATCAAATTATTTTAGTGTAATGCTGCTGGGAATTCTGGCAATGGTAATCTCAACACATTTGGAAGGTATCAATTTGGAATAGCTGTCAATTCTATTTCAATGAATTATTCCATATTATGAAGCATAAAAATAACTTTAACTTTCTGATTTACTATTGCTATAGAACAGCAAACTGTGAAGATATGCAAAGTTGCTAATGAGCATAAATGAGAACTGTAGTTTTATTTTTTATTACTTGAGTGTATGAGAAGAATATGACAAAAGAGAGGTAAATATATGCATACCATCCATATAATTATATACAAAATGTCTATCTAGTTATCTAGATAATTGCCTCTGCTGTTGCTTCGTGCAGATTTTCTAGGGAACCAGAGAATGAATGTCATGGACAATGTTGCACAATATGCTTAATAGTTTATATAGTGACACACAATCCAACAAGGGAATCTTTCCATCCCCATTGATACAGAGCAGAGGAACTTCTTCCAGTATCATACCTAATCCTGTTCTATTTTGTCCAAACAGAGCAAAGCCAGCCAAAACCAGGTGGTTTGGTGGAGGAAACACTAAGTCAATAAAGGAGAATATTTGTAGTTCAGGGTTGAAATGAGGGGTCTTTGATGCTCTCTGAGCTTGGTGCTTTCTTGCAAACATTTCCTTACCAAAGTGCTAAACTAGCATTGATGATGTTATCTGGTTTGAATAATAAAAGAAAACAACTGAACTCAGAGAGCACCAAGGATCACTAATGGTCAGGCCACAAGAAGATATCTTGGACCATTCTTCTCTCCAGGCGTTCAGGAATATGCAACATGCCAGAAATGATACACATTGTCTGGCAGAGTTGGACATCGACCATGTGAAAGTGGGCTTTCTTAAGACACATGCTGGCAAAATATTCAGCTGTGGAATAAACCAAAGCCAAGACTGCTGTTCATAGGGTGTTAGCATCAGCACTTCAGGATGTTTCAGCCAGAACTGTTGTACAAATACCACATACAAATGATAGTATAAAAATCTATTGTGAGAATCACAATAAGCCTTGGTGTTCTGTGCTTTGCCTCTTCTTTAGACCACAAGAAGTAGTAGCATAGCCCAAACAATGGGAAGTGAAAAATTCCAGTAGCAATGGTAAAACGTTTAATACAAAGAATTTGCATAGTGGGTTTTTAAAAAAATGATGATATATGGGGAAAAGATTATTATTTAGCATACATTTAGTGCAGAGAAAAAATAAATAATTAATAGACTATATAGTATGTTTTAAGATGCCTAGCATTTTAGGTCATATCAAATTTCATGTCAATTTCTGACCTGTTTTTCTATCCCAACAAAGAAAGAAGAAAAAAATAGAAAGTGATAATTTGTCAAAAAATGCAGTTCTGATTTGAAAAAAGATTGGTGAAACAGAAACAATGCATGAACAAATCATAAACATGTTTAATAGGGTCTAGGATAATTTGCTGTGGTCATCTCGCCATGGTTATCTTGTTGTGGCCGATTTGGCCCTGCCAACTCACTATGGGATTATTCAATACAGGATAGCTCAACATGAGATAAGTATACCATTATCTGCCACTTTTTTTTGAAATTATTTTAATTTTTGTTATTCACATTTTATTTTGTCCTTCCTTTAGCATCCTTTTTTAATGGTTCTATTCCACCTTTTCTTTGATATTATTGAAGGAATATCATTAAAGAAAGGATGCTAAAGAAGGGAAAAATGAAATGTAAATGACAAAAATTAAAATAATGTTGAAAAAACAGTGACAGATAACAGTACAGTTAATTCACATTGAATTATCCTGCACTGAATCGTCCCACAATGAGTTGTCCCATTCTGTGTTTAATATATAGTAATTATAATAATTAATAATTATTTTTTTAGTATTCATTAATTTAAATCCATGCTCAAATGCTTCTAAAGTTTGCCAAAGATAGTTTGATGTGTACAAACATGCATATGTGCATGCACACAAACACACAAACGCATACACACAGAGAGAAAGAAAGGGAGAGGGAGAGAGAGAAAAACATAAACATTTTTAAAAAGCAAGGTTACCAAATTTGATGCTAATTCTATATTACCTATTCCTAAAACTGTTTAAGAAATATTTATAATTTTGTTCTATTATCGAGAAACTAGCTGTTACAACATATTCACAAATGCCTAGAGAGAGACATACCCACAACTTAGAGGGCTGCCAAACATTATTCTAAAGCATATTCCTCACAGTAGGCTGCTCTTAGAGAGAAATTCATGTAGGAATTTTATATACAGTTCATATACAGTTTATAATTATATACAGTATTGACAGTATTCAGTACACTTCAGAAACACTTTTCTTAAAAAGAAAACCAGCAGAATAGAGGAGTCTGCTAAAATCAGAATATTTTTTCCAGAAAAGTTTAGAGGTATCAGAAATGAAGTTGTTTCCGCATTTCCACAGACTAAATAAAGGATATGATGTAATGGAACTACAGGTAATCCCTGAGTTGCAAGGATTCCCATAGCGAATGTTTGAAGTTACATAATAAGCACCTCCTAGTACTTATGGGCAAATCCCAAAATTACAAATATTGTGGCACCACTGCAGTTGTTCATCCTTATGAGCGACCGCAGTGGCACTGCAACATTCAACCTGGTTATTCCTGCCCTCCCCATGCCTGCCCCAGGTCTCAACCAGTGGTTCTCAACCTTCCTAATGCCGCAACCCTTTAATACAGTTCCTCGTGTAGTGGTGTCCCCCAACCCCCCATCCAGCTGGCCGGGGGGTATCAAAAACTTGACCCCCCCCAAAAGGAAAAATATGGGAAAGCATAGATAGTCCTCGACTTACAACAATTCACTTAGTGATTGTTTGAAGTTACAACAGCACTGAAAAAGTGAATTATGATCATTTTTCATACTTATGATTGTTGCAGCATCCCCAGGGTCATGTGATTTACATTCGGATGCTTGACAACTGATCCATACTTATGATGTTCACAGTGTCCCAGGGTCACGTAATCAATGGCCAGAGGGCTTGGCCAGCTGATCACTCAGGTTGCAGAGTGCCTGTGGGGGGAGGAATCTGTGGCTCTCTGGGATGGGACTGGGTGGGTGCCTGCCTTCCTTCCCTTCCTTCCCTTGTCCCTTCCTTCCTTCTTTCCTTCCTTTCCTTCACCTCCCTTAGTCTCTTCCTCCTTCCCTTCCTCTTTCCCATTGTCCCTTCCTTCTTTCCTTCCTTTCCTTCACCTCCCTTAGTCTCTTCCTCCTTCCCTTCCTCTTTCCCATTGTCCCTTCCATTCTTTCCTTCCTTTCCTTCCCCTCCCTTAGTCCCTTCCTTCTTTCCTTCCCTCTTTGTCCCTTCCTTCCTTCCCTCTCTCATTGTCCCTTCCTTCCCTCCCTCTTTGTCCCTTCCTTCCTCCCCCTCCATGCCCAGGAAGGGACAGGGGAGGGGGACAGGCTGCCAAAGGCAGAGGAGAGCTCCACCCAGCTCACTTGCTCAGCTTCGCCAGAAAACATGCCGCTTGCTAAATTAGCAGAAGCCCCAGGATCAGCGCCGGGCTGCAGCTGATTTGCGCTTCTGCTAAATTAGCAAGCGGCATGTTTTCTAGCAAAGCTCGAGCAAGTTCACTGGGCAGGAGCCAAGGAAAGCTGCTACAGCTGACTTGCTTTTGGCTGCTCTGCAGAAGTGCGGATCAGCTGTAGAGGTTTGCCCTGATCCTGGACAAGAGGAGAAGAAGGAAGGATGGAAGGGACAAGGGGAAAGAGGGAGGGAAGAAGGGACAAAGAGGGAGGTGAAGGAAAGAAAGGAAGGAAGGAAGGGACAATGGGAGAGGGAGGGAAGGAGGAAGAGACCAAGAGGGAGGGAAAGAAAGGAAGTTCCAGCCAGCAGAGGCTTGCAGGCTGGCTGCCAAGGAACAGAAGAGCACAAAACCAAGGAGAAGAAGGTGGCGGTTTCCTCCCAAAGGGGGCTCCTTTTCTCCACCCCTTCCCTGGGTTCGTGGGGAATTTCTCATCACCAACGCTGACAGGTGCTCTTTCGAGCCTGCCACAAGCTTTCTCACCCCCTTTGCTTCTCCCCCCACTTTGATGAGGATTGTGGCGCCCTTGGGAAGCCGATCGTGCTTTGAAGCTTAGGAGAGGAGGAGGAGTCCCTTCCTCCTTCCCTCCCTCTCTCCCTGTCAAGCCCCAGCAGGCTCGACATGAATGGGCAGAGGAGGAGTCGAGGACGGGCAGGGTGGCAAAGGAGACCGGCGGCCATTGCCAGACCTCCTGGCTGACAAGCACAAGTTCAGGGGTCGCCAGCTGACGGGCGCGGGAATTGGGTGCTACAGTAGCCTCCCCTTCGCTGACCTGCGTGCACAAGAAGAAGTCAATCCGGTTGCTGCACAATGAGTCTCTGGGGAGGGCGGGGCCTTGCTCTGTGCCTCGCTCTTCATGCGCCCCCTGCAGGGCACATTTGGTAAAATTCATGCAAACTGCTGCCAAGCAGCATATTTTCCAGAAACAAGTGAGATGGAGCGGAGGGGGGGGGGAGAGAAGACGGTTGACAAGCCCTGCCTAAGACCATTGGAAATATGTGTTTTCCGATGGTCTTAGGTGACCTCTGTGAAAGGCTCGTGTGACCCCCAAAAGGGTTGCGACCCACAGGTTGAGAACCACTGCCCTAGGTGCTAGGCCTTCAATAGTCACCCTACAAAGATCGAGATCCTTCGCTTCTTTGGCTGCTCAAGATCTTTGGTGTGTTCACAAAGAATGGAGGCCTAAAGTAACGCAAGATCACATGAGATGGTGTGAGATCTCACGCTACTATCTCATGTGATCTCATGTTACTTTATTGCTTCTGTTCTCTGCAACAGAGAAAGGAATTGAAGCCCGGGGACGCTTCTGCATGCCTCCAGAGGCTGGATCTGGGCATCAGAGGCCTTTTCCAGGCCTTTGTTGCCTGGATCTGAGGCCAGAGTATGCTTCTGCAGCCCTCCAGAGGTCCGATCCAGGTGCCAGAGGCCTTTTCCAGGCTGCTGCCACCCACATCTGAGGCCAGGAGACACCTCAGATCTGGGTTGCAGCGGCCTGGAAAAGACATCTGATGCCCTGCTCCAGCCTCTAGAGCAGTGGTTCTCAACCTGTGGGTCGGGACTCCATTTGGGATCGAACGACCATTTCACGGGGGTCGCCAAACAACACAATCCACCATTTCCCCCCCTTTTTCTTAGCTGTGCTAGTCCCTTTTATTCTATTGGCTTTTGAAAGCCAATAGAATAGACTCTCTTGAATAGAGTCTAATTCTATTGGCTTTCAAAAGCCAATAGGATATTGTCCAGGCTGTCTCTGCCCTGCTGAGCCTGCCAAAAGTCCCATTCTGCAAATGGTGCTGCACCAGTTGAGTAGTCCTCGACTTACGACCGGTTGAGTAGTCCTCGACTTACGACCGGTTGGGGGTCGCGGCATTAAAAAGGTTGAGAACCACTGCTCTAGAGGCATGCGGAAGCAACCCCCAGCTTCACTTCTGGGTGGTAGAAGCCTGGAAAAGGCCTCTGATACCTAGATACAGCATCTGGAGGCATGGAGAAGCATCCCCTAGCCTCAGATCTGGATGGCAGCAAGAACCGTGGCAGAGAGGAGATAGATCTTTTCAAGGTGAGTCCAGTGTGACATGAAGGGAGGGGGAAGCATGAAGTACATTAGTGGGTTGGGGACGCCTTGGGGGCCTGTTCTATCACTAGGCCCTCCATGGCCTTCCACACCCTGAGATACCTCATGTTCACTTAACGGGCCACATGCATTTTAACAAACAGGCAGTGATCTCGTTCAAGGTACAAAATTCACTCCTATGAGTTTTTAGTTAGGAATGGAATGCACAGGCTCCATTATATTTGTAACTTGAAGACTATCTGTATTTAGATACTGCAAAGTTGTTACCTAAAAAAGCTAACTGTTAAGTTATTCGTATATTAGATAATCCAGAATCCTGTGTGAAAAATGACTTAAGACCAAAATGTTTCCATCTCCAAAATACATAATCTGATGCAGATAATCTGATATAAGCTGAAGAAGCTGCATCAGTCACACATCCCAAATTTACCTGCTGTGAACATCTCAGCCATGCCCTAGTAGCACTAATGGAAATCACTTTTCTATGTACATTTATGACTTTATACCAATAAACAACATAAAATGTGTTTTAAAATACTTACTCTTCCTCATTTTTTCCTGCTCTATACAAAAACATCTGGGATGCAGGTTGACAAGAGCTTAAATTGATTTAAAGAATAACTTTATGCTTTATTTAAGTTAAAGTTTAATACTGCTGAAAATTATAAAGGATTAATACCCTGCTCTTAAGGTTAGCTGTCAAATATAGAGTGAAAGAAAATAAACAATTTTAACTGTAAATCCTAAACAATACATGTCTGTATATATTTTTGTACTCAAATACATTTTATTTTCCAGTACAATAAAAGTGTAAATTAGTCCTTTCGTATCCTAAAAATATTGCAAGGTATATACTAAATGTAGTTTCAGAAGGCAAATAAATCACTAAATATTGTTTAAAAACAGTTTATTTATTTTTCTATTGGGCAAACATCTATTGCAGTTACATGAAGTAACTGCACTGTTTGTTTAGAATTAGTTTAGTAAAATTCATGAATTGAATGTCTTCTGTGCACACTTACAGGATATGTGAGATTCTGTTAATCCCTTTGTTTTTTCACTGGTGTCAAACTGTACAAAACTCTGAATATTATTTTTATCAAAAATGTCATCCCACAGAACATTTTCCATGTTGCAGAGGTAAGGATTACTCCTGAACTTTACTCCTCCATTTAGAATTTCTGTCAAAAGAAATTAGGATAATGAAAGAGATTAATACACATGGTTTGATTTTTGTATTTTAAAAATTACACAAGGGTAATCATTTCAATTGATTTTGATGAAATATCATTCATGAGTTAGCAAAATCTAACTAAATAACATAAATTTGAGATATATAAAGAATATAGAAAATGCAAAAAAAAAATACTAAAAGTAAGCAAGCAGATAGGTACTATACATATATACATTTACCATATATATAGAATGCCATCATTTTATATCTATGACTATTGAGGTAAAATATAAAATCATTCAAATTTGGTAGAATTACTCCGTCCTCTGATATTTCATTATTTTAACTGTATCTATATGTTTTTTTCCAATGTACCAGTTAATTACATGTTAGCTATTATGTTATCTAGACAATGTCGATTAATTATGATTTTAGCTGCAAAAATTAAATAGATGAGTTTCCTCTTTATGGAGATTCTCAGTCATCCAGGTCATGGTTGTCCCAAAGATACTTTTTCAAAAGGTAACTGGACTTCATTTTTCCTTTGTTTTCCTAAGGAAAAACAAAGTCCATTTGTCTTTTGAAAACATGCCTTTGGGACAGATGAGTTCCCTGTTTTTAAGCTTGAAGTTTACTCCTGTAAATCAGAGTTCCCCAACCTTTTTGGCACCAGAGACCGGTTTCATGGAAGACAATTTTTCCATGGCCCGGGGAGGGGAGAGAGGGGGGAAAGTTTCAGGATGATTTAAGTGCGTTATATTTATTCTAAATTTTCTAAATAAACACACAAATAAATAATGCACTTTATTTCTATTATAATTAGATTGTATTAAATTAGACCAGTGACTTTCTACTTCTAAGAAAGTGGGAAAGAAAAGACACAATTCTAAACTCAGCATTCCAGCAAAACAAACCAAAGACCCTGCACGTTGAGGAAATGCTGAGAAAACCATTCAGAGAGAGAGAGAGAGAGAGAGAGAGAGAGAGAGAGAGAGAGAGACCAAACCAACTCGACACTGCGCAAGCCCAGCAGCCTTGGAAAAGGTGCAAAGGTGCTTAAGGGGAAATGTAGCTTCTCCCCTCTCCCTCCCCCATTGCAAGCCTGGTAGGAGCGCTCGTGGCTTGCAAAATTGAGAGGTGCATAAAGAAAGGAGCATGAACACACGCGCGCGCGTGCGCGCGCGCACACACACACACACACACAAATACGCACACCAAATTAAACCACAAAAAGCAGGCAGGAATTTGCCAAAACATGAGGCACCTGGAGCAGCATCAAAACAAAAGCAAAAAACTCAGCAGTCTTAGAAAAGGTGCAAACAAGAGAGAGAGAGAGATTCCCTTGAAGACGTAGTACTTAAACTAAAAGGTAGCTTCTCCCTTTGCCTATTTGCACCCTGAGAAAGCACCCTCACAAACACATACCTTGGGGGGAGGATCTCCCTCCAACAAAGTTTTGGGGAAGCTCCCAGTTGCTAGCACGCACTTGTCTTGCAAACTTGGAGACTTGCATGAAGTGAGCATGAGCCCAGCTGGGGTGTCAGGAGGGGGAGAGAAGAAAAGTGAGGAAGAAGAGGAGGAAGAAAAAGTAGCAGGAGGAAGAGGAAACAGGAAGAGAAGGAAGGATGTGGAGCTCAGATGTTGCAAGTGAGTTGCAAGCGCAGTCGCTGGAGAACCTTTGCACTGAGCAAGATGGCTTATGGCCTGCCACTTTTCCGCCCCTTCCCAGACCCCTGCAGAGTCACCACAGGCCTCCATCTGTGTGGCCTGGTTCCTAACTGACCAAGGCCTCGTACCGGTCCTTGGACTGGGGATTGGGGACCCCTGCTGTAAATAAAAGGGGGGGTCTTTTATTTACAGCAGGGGTCTTAGGCCCCAAAGTAATGTATCCTCAGTTATTTTAGCTTTGTAGCTTTCTTTGTTGCCTGCCATTCTGTTGGGAGGAGGGAGCTTTTGGGGATGCTTTCACTGTCCATTTTATTGCCTTATTGCCTTTCCCCCAGGGATGGAATGTCTCACCCTTATCTGAGAGATGGTTTGTGCTTGGAGCCAGAAGAAATTGAAAGTGAGAGAGACCTTGAAGAGCCTGCCAAAAAGACCCATTACCAAAAGACGATGCCACCTGTGGATTGGCTTGGATTCAAATGAACACTGTGACACTGGGGGGGGGAGGAGTATTGAATGCTACTTTTAATATATCGCTTTGCGGTTTTTTATCTCAGATCTCACTTTGATTCCCTGCTATCATAGCCCCTAATAAAAGTTTCCTTTTGAGACAATGCTTTCTTGGGTGGCTTACCTGAGGTAGGTCCTTACATAAGATCTCGCCTTATATAAGCATTGTTTCAAGATGTTTGAAGCTAAAAGATGCTGTAAGATGCAACAAAGCTAAAATAAATGAGTATACATTATTTTGGGGCCTGACAGCTAGAGAGCACTGAATGCTTTGTTTAGTAATGGTATTTATCTCTCCCCAAATTTTATATACAAAGGGTAAAATTTTATTACATGACCACCACAAATGAAAGAATGACCATTTTAATTTCTAATTTCTGAAATTTTCAGTCAATACTATTTTAATTAAAAATTGATCAGATTAGACTGATATTGAGGGGAATAGAGAATGAACCTTATACATTTTAGGACATGATTGAACAGAATATTCTTTTTAAAAATATTTTGAAGCCTAGTTTCACACAATTGCCCCGCACTATTTGAAGAATGTATTATTTTTACTGTTTATTGGCATGATCACATGACCACATAATGTTGCTCACACCTTAGGTTTTTTTTGCCATATGCTGGCATAACATATTGAGGCAGGAACCATCGCATCATTGGACTCTGTCTCAATATTTGAACTGATTATTTGAAGAGATTCTAAGAAAATTGGCTATAAATTCTATAAAATTTGGTGAAACGTGTATTAAACTACATGTTCTTTACAGTTATTTAAAATACTGACTTTTCCAGCACAAAATGTTTTCCAGAAACCAAAGTGCTATTTAATAATTAGCTTAGCCAAATGATTCACAGATTGGTAACTTGCAGAACGTATTTATGCATTTGTATAATGAACTTCATATGAGCATGTCTAAGAGACTCCTGGATCAGAAGTTACAAGTAGGTTAATGACTGAAGTTGCCTTACTATGCCTATTTCATACCCACTCAACAATGATTTTCAAGCTTCTACAAATCATGATTGAAAGTTTTGCTTTGACTGTATAATTTTTTTTAATGTGAACATCTGTGACCAACCTCTCCAATCACATCAGCTATCTCTAAAAATAAAGTTTCTTTATAAATCTAGTTCTTGGCAAAGCCATTCATGAGTATCAATCTAGTAGAACGACCTCTTTATTATACTATACATAGTTTTAATATGACCGGTTTCTATTGTTTTATTTATTATTGTGGCTTTCTCCAGTCATCAGTGTCCCTTCAATGTTTTCTCAATTGTCTATTTAAATCTTGAAATTTGGTATTTAAACCACTACACTACACTTGATCTTAGCCACAAGGCTGAGAAGCGATTTAAACTACTGTAAATCACTTTGGGAATTTTCACAAATATTCTAATGATAATAACAATAAATTGCTATTAAAAATTCCTTATTTGATTGTATTTGTACTACAGATTTGTAGCTCCTTCCATTTCTTATAAAAAGAATTAATGCACATATATCTATCTTGTCAGTCCACAGTTGTGTCCTGCTATTCTGTTGAAGGGGGAAGGACGTTGGCAATTCTGGGATGCCTTCACTTTGCTGTGATGCCTCACTTTGGGAATTAAGGATGGGTATTGTCTTTGGAGAAAGGGCAGGTCCCTCCCAGCCAGTTCCCAAGGCTGTCATGTCCTGAGAATGACCTGTTATCTACCCAGCACCTCAGTGTTCTCAAAATATCTTCATGATATCACATTGGCTGCCGGTGGACTGGTCAGGATATTGGGACTTGGGGAAAATGAAAGAATTGCTTTGTGTTTTGCATGGGATCTTCAGATTCACTTGATTTTCTGCAACCACTTTCTCTTGATAAAAGTTCTTTTGATTCAAGTCAATCAATTCAAGAGCTTTATTTTCCTGAGGGATCAGCTGGGCAGGTCCTTATATTAGGCAGAATCTGCAAACTCAGTCAACCTGAAGAAGTGGATAGCCCTACCGTGTGGACCATGCAATGATGTCAGCTAAAGGCAGTGACCAGGAGGAAGCTGAGTGCTGGGGGGAAGCCTCATCCATGGCTCCCCCTGGGTTGGACCTCTCTGAGTGGATGGAGGAGGTCCCTGGCCTGGGGGATTCATCGAGATTCGGGTGGTCCATAGGGGTCAACAAGAAAAATGAATGGGAAGGGAGAGCCAAAGGGGTGACTCTCATCTGTGGCAGTTGCAGTGGCCAACAATGTGAGCAGCAATTGGAGCTGGAGAAGCTCAAGGACGAGGAGGAAGGCGGAGAACCAACCAACACGCCAACCAACTGATGAAGCAAATCATGTGGTTCATGATGGATGTCTTCTAGATCCTCAAGGCATGTGAATCCCATGCCAAAGATGCTGTCAGCAAGATTCGCCATGCCCAAGAGGAGGAAAATGATGGGAAAGCATTGCTGCTAGACAACACAGTGGGAATTTTGGCAACTCCAGCAGGTGCTACTGTGGATATTGGCACGGCACTGACAGAAGCCAGCAGGGCTAACACTCTGAGGGATGGTCCAGAAAGAACCAGAAGTCACAAGACCCCATCCATTGGTGTGAAGTTTGACAGGGACTTTCTGCAACTGGCATTCCTCCTGGCCCATGTCCTAATTTATATGCAGGAGAATGGTCCAGAAATGCCTACTGAAGTCACCAAGGTGAGGAGTGTCATCCTGGTACTTGAAAGAGCCACTGCCCACTGGTTGGTGATGTTGCACAACACGAATGCTCCAGAACTGAGGAACTTTGATTGCTTTATGTTGGCACTTTGTCGGTGGTTTGAGGACCTCCTGGCTGATGGCAGGGTAAGAGACTACATAAAAACCATGCAGCAAGGCTGTTGAGGTGTGGCTAAATAATTCTGTGACCTGGCTTGCTGAAAGACATCCTCATTAGCTATTTCAAGGCAATATTCCAGTTTGCAACGTTAGCGGTTGTATAAAGAGAGTCATCTTTTCGCCGGCCGATTTTTCTTCACCGGTAGACCCTGAAAAGGGTTGAAAGTCATCCTGGAGGGGCGACCACTGATGAGGAAGCTTCTCATCAACTGCGGGAGGGCAGCAGCTCCTCCCGCGGCTCAAGTTACTCCTTAGGGCTGATGAAGCAAAGATCGCCCAGTAAGATGGCCGATCACACAGCCGCACCAGCTGAAAGTCACAAGAACATCTAAGCGTAAAGAACCACCGTGGTTGATCCGGGTGAGACCTTTTCTTTCCTCTCTTTACCCTATTTTTTCCTCTTTTTTTCCTGTAAAAAGCCTTTTTGGAATTATTTCCCTGTTTTGAGAGAGTGGCATTCATCAATGTGGGAAGAGAAGCTTTGAACAAAATGAAAGAATAATTAATTTTATTGACTATTTTTACTTCTATTTTCTCTGGGGTCCCGAAAAAATTCTTATTATTGAATTTCATTATTTGATCTTGTTCAGTGGTTCTCAACCTGTGGGGCGCGACCCCATTTGGGGTCGAACAACCATTTCATGGGGGTTGCTTTTCCTTAGCTGTGCTATTCCCTTTTATTCTATTGGCTTTTGAAAGCCAATAGAATAGACTCTCTTGAATAGAGTCTAATTCTATTGGCTTTCAAAAGCCAATAGGAATTGTCCAGGCTGTCTCTGCCCTGCTGAGCCTGCCAAAAGTCCCAGTCTGCAAACGGTGCTGCAAGTTGTCTGCAGCGAAAACGAGCTGTCTGGAAGTTTCCACTCCTCCCTGCTGAGCGATTACTAAAAATGTAAGTAAAAGAGGGCCAGGGGTGGGAGGTGGGAGGCCGGCGGGTGCAGGGAGGGTTGCTGGCGCGTGTGGGGCCCGGCAGGTGCCTTACCTCCCTTGCGCTGGGCCAGCTGGTGGCCCAGCCGGTGGTCAGCCTGTGCCATCTCTGCCTCTTGCCAGCTATGCCTTGGCCGGCACAGGGGGCAGCTCCATGTATGCACAGCGCTCCCGGACAGGGAAAGTCCTTGACTTATGACTGGTTGGTTAGTCCTCGACTTACGACCGGTTGGGTAGTCCTCGACTTATGACCGGTTGGGGGGGTCGCAGCATTAAAAAGGTTGAGAAGCACTGATCTAGTTCATATGTGGAGAATATTATTTTTTCCTAACTTTTTTTTAATGTTATTTTTGGTATCTGGGAAAAGATTGTACAATCTAACTTCACCTTGTGGTGAAATTTAAAACTGCAACTACCTTCTCTTGTTTGATGCTGAGGTTGGTTTTGACCTTCAAATCATCACAAAAGGGAAAAGATAAAGAAGTTGAAACAGCTGCTAGAAACTGTGGGGGTGGACATTGGCTAACTGTTATCAAATATAGCCTCCACTAAAAGATAAAAGGATTGCTTCTAGCCACTATGGAAATGGAGAAACTCTATTTACAACTTAACTGTAAACTTATACTGGAAAAAATTCACAAAGCCACTGAGCAAGTGTGCACTAAAATAAAAGATTACTACAGAAATAAAAAGCAGAAACCCTATTTTAAATTTACAAACTGATCTCCAGATTTCATCTGACTAAAAAACCACAGAAGAGGAATTAATCAACACCAGAGGATTTTAAGTCATTTTACACACAACTAATTGAGATTTTTGATGACCAAAACGTAACTTTAACTAAGCTATATACAACTTCAAAAGCAACAAGAATTGATGCACAATTACGATTTATTGAGAACTATGACAACTTTCATAATTAACTATTAATTATAAAATTGGACATAACAGAGTGTCTTACTCAGCAGAATCAAACATTGAGACTTGAATCTTTAAAGCAACAAGGGATTAATTACAGTCAGCTTCCCTAAACAGAAGATGGGATGCCTTTGTTTGATCCAAATGATATTACGAGGAACAAAGAGAGACTAATTTCTTGATATAAAAGCATTGTTATTGAAACGTGCTTGGCACAAAAAGAAAGCCAGAATAAGACTTAAAAAGGAGTTTTAAAATTGTATGTAATGGATTAAAAAGGCTTTTTAGACACGGATTGATCTAAGATTTAAGACTCAGACTTATAACCGAGAGGAATTTTTTTTTGCTTAGTAGAATATATACTGTATGTGAAATAGAGTAAGATTGTATTTTTTGAATTAATATGTTTATTTTATGTATGATAATTATTCTGTAATGGAATGAGAATAAGAAAATATTGTGCTAATAGGAAACATGGTATTAATAAATGAGGAGCTAGTAGAAAAAGAATAGAATATATTTAAGAAATGTTTTCTTTTTCTTTCTTTTTTCTTTTTAATATTATAATTATTATGTTATGAAAAGAGGAAAATTGGGGATACCCGAAGCATAAATAGTAGGCCTATGTATGGTTAAACTGAAATATGGTAACTGGAATCTTGTAAAGCTTAAATACAGGATTGGGATTTATATAGTTAAATTATTGATAATTTTATTGATTGATTGAATTTTATTAAAAATATTTTAATCTGAATATGGTATATGATTTGTAGGAATTAGAGAGGGATTCTTTAACGAGTTAACCTGAGTTATATATAAATGTTTTGTTTTTTTGGATAATTGATTACCCAATCACCACATTGTTTCTTAAGCACTTTGTTATAAAAATTGAAAAAATAAAACTTGTTTTTTAAAAAAAGGACACTGAAAGCTATGTGGCAAGTTGCCCCATATGTGCTTCAGTGAAGCAGCAGCAAGGGAAAACACTGGGATTCCTTCAAACAGTAGTGGAGTTGTCAGCTCATGGAGAGAAATCTCCATGGATTTCATAGTAGAACTCCCTGAGTTCTTTGGGTGATAACCGACTTGTTCTCTAAACAGGTGCACTTTGTCCCGTGTCAAAAGATCCCATCAGCATGGTCACTGGCCAAACTGTTTGTACAGCATGTGTACTGACTACATGGTGCACCCCAATGCATCATTTCTGACAGAGGTGTGCAGTTCACTTCCATGTTCTAGCGAGCATTCTTGGGCCTCTTTAGTATCGACCAAGGGCTTAGCTCCAGTCACCACCCTCAAACGAATGGGGGGTGCAAACGCACAACTCAGTCTTGGAAAATACTGTAGATATTATATTAGCTATCAACAAGATAACTAGGCTGACCTACAATCTTTTCCAGATGTGGCATGCAATAACTCATTTCATTCTAGTAATGGATTTACCTCTTCCCAAGTAGCTACAGGACAAGACTTTAACACAATTCCCAAGTTACCACCAAGTGAACCCCCAGTGTCCTTCTTAAAGGAATGGGTCATTCAACTGCGCAATACGTGGCCTGTTGTGAGGAAATCCCTAGAGATGGTTCATGATGTTTATAAAAAGCAAGCTGACAAGAAATACATGGAATCAAAAGCCTTTAACATTGCGATTGTATTTATCTATCTGCTACCTGCAGTCCCTGCAACTATCAAAAAAGCTAGGGCCCAAATACATGGGACCTTTCCCCATAAAGCACATCATAAATACAGTAACTTGGAATTAGATCTGCCAAAGTCCCTTTGGACAGTTTACCCTGTGTTTCACTGCAGCTTATTAAAACCCGAGGTTACCTCCCCCCTTAGGTCTGAATGGACACAACCTTGCGAACCATTAATGATTAAAGGTGAGTAACATTTTAAAGTTCATAGTATATTAGATTCCCATAAAGATCAGGGGAAAGTTCAATATTTGATAGCCTGAAATTTTTTTCCTATCTCCCAAAATGAATGGATTGACTGTCACTATGTTAGAGTTCCTAGCCTTCTTTAAATATTTTCATAACCAATCCTCTGATAAGCCTAAATGAAATCTTTCTTTTAATTTTCTTCTCTCCTTGTTTGTTTTATTTTCTTCTACAGGACTAACTTTGCTGTTCAGGGGGACAGCATGTCAGGTCCACAGATGTGTACTGCCATTCTGTTGGAGGGGGAGGGACATTGGCAATTCTGGGATGCTTTCGCTTTGCTGTAACACTTGGGAATTAGGGAGGGCGTACTGTCTTCAGGAACATGGCAGACTCCCTCCCAACTGGTTCCAGCCTTGCTCCAAGGCTGTCATGCCCTGAGAGTGACCTGTTATCTGCCTAGCACATCAGCAATTTCAAAACATGTTTGCAGCATCACATTGGCTGCCAGTGGACTGGTCAGAGGTTGGGACTTGGAAGAAATAAAAGAATTGCTTTGTGCTTTGCATGGGACTTTCAGATTCCACCTGACTTTTCTATAACTACTTTATCTCTGTAAAAGTTCTTTTGATTCAAGTCAATGGATTCAAATGTCTTACTTTCCTGAGGGATCAGCTGGGATAGGTCCTTACATGCTCATCCTGTCACAAGGCAACTCTTAAATGGTTTGCACAGAATCAAAACCATTCTTTCAAAAGTATAGATTGCAGTATTATGCTTACTAACATTCAATATTAAATATTCAAAAATGTTTTATTAATAATATAAGCATTTGTTAAATGTTTATTCTTTCCCTTTTAAATTTCTCACCTGCCAAGCGTCTTAATGGTAGCTCTTCAAGTCCCTTCGTACCATTGTGATTTAATAAAATTGCTAGTGCAGCATTTTCATAAAGTATGTTCCCTCGTATTATCTGGAGATTCTCCAAAGGAATAGTTTTCACTGCATTCATTGCTATAACCACATAGCCAGCCACTTCTTTTATACTCTGGAAGATATGGAAGACAAAGATATACAAAATAAAGACAGAGACTAAAGCAAATTCTTTCCTTGGCTTTACATTTGCTAAGTATTTTTAGAAGCACCTCCCCAAATAAGTAAGATGCAAATTAAGTAATTTCCATATAGCATTCATAAATTCAATATAACTTATTAAGATTTACAAGGATAAATTCCAGAAATATAAGATAATGTTTATCTACTCTGTTTATATAGCTGGGACTATATAAGATATATAGCTAAAACAACAAATAATCTTACAGAAATAAAACACAATTAAAGACATAAATAACCAAAATATATTAAACCAGATAAGCTCAAAATAAATTCTGTTCCAGTTCCTAGACGAAACATTAGACTTCAAAATCTTAAAATAAGCAGGCTGTGTTGGGGCCATATGGAGCAAGGAAATTGAAAGGGGGAATGGCATTCCACATCTCTTGGATACCACCAAATGCCATTAATCTATGGGACCCAAGAATGCCAACTTATTAAAAAGGCAGAAATAATTGGAAATAGATGAGTTGCAAATGACCAACGCCTGTGTCATGAAGGGCTTTCAACACCAGTTCCTTGAATTGCACCTGAAAAGCGAGTGAAGTTTGCAAAGTAGCAGCATTATGGGGACACACAGAGGTATGCCTCATTATTGTATTCTAAATGAGTTATAGTGACCTCTTACCAATTCATATTGACCAGAGTCAATCCAAAAGGAAGTCATTTGTTCTTTGGAAGGACAGATACTGAAGCTGAAGTTCAAATACTTTAGCTACCAAATGAACTTTGGCCATCAAATGAGAAGAAAGGACTCATTGAAAAAGACTCTGATTTTGAGAAAGATTGAAGGGAAAAGGAGAAGGGGATGGCAGAGGATGAGATGGTTAGATAGTGTCATTGATGCAATGAACATGTATTTGGGCAAACTCCAGTGGAGGACAGAGAGGCCTGGCATGCTATGCTCCATGAGGTCATGAAGAGTCAGACATAACTTACCCACTGAACAACAACTAATCATAGGAAACGATACAATGGAAGTAAGAGCTTGCTTGAAATGCAGATTTCTCATTGATTGTAATCTCTTGAGTAAATTTAATATAACAAAAAACCTGAGTTCCCCTTGTATTATTTAGAGCTCCCAAAGTTAGCTCCAAGAATGAATGAGGGTGCAGACAAACTGCATGTAGAACATTAGAATGTAACAGAATGATATGTTAGGGGTGGAAAATAGGACTTTAATGTTTTGGAACAAAATATCCATAATATAAAACTGATTCCTAATCCAGATACATATTGCTCTTTTCAAAGGCAAGTAAAGGCATTAAGGTTCTCTTCATCTCCCATTCACATTAGAACAATGTAATTCATTTTACAAACCTTCAGAAAAGTAAGGTTATAGTTGTAATCCACATAAGTGATTTCCAGATTGCCAAGCACTATTTCACAGTTCTCATACATCCTCTTAAGGTTGTTATAGTGGTCATCCACACTTGCAAGTTGAGTTAGCTTATTGCTTGTTCCTTGACAAACTGAACAAAGAATAAACATACAATAAACATGAAAATCCGCATGCAAAGCAAGTAAACTATGTGCAGAATATGTTTTTTCCTAATTATGTCAATATAGAGTTTCTCACTGAAATTATTCCCATCACTTGGGGTCTGAACATAAAATTTAAAATTCCATCTATCTTCAACTGAAAACAGGAATGTTGTAGAAATATGAAGGCATTTTTATAATAGTTTTATGATTTTTATGATTACTTTTATAAAATATGTGCTTTAATTTATATATTTTAAAATGTATATAAGTATAATAATTATAGTAGTTTGATTATTATTCAAACAATAATTCTAAAGGCATGCATTTAATAGTACTTGGAAAGGAAATGTAACTATTAACATATTTCAACCAATACCATTTCTTCTTGTAACAAATTATGATTTAATGTAAAATATTTAGACTCTATAAAATTATATCTAAATTATAGGGCAAGAGAAACAAGAACAAACAAAACAAAAACAAGATCCATCAATATATAAAAGGATGGATTTAAATGTAAACAGCACCAGTATCAATAGATTGGCAAATAAACTAAATATCATTAAAATTAAGCAAATAAAGATTTTTGTGAGAAAACTGCAAATCAAAACTGTGGGATACAAAACATAAAATTCCTTATCTCTAGTGAATTATAATTTTCAGGGTTTTTATATCAATAACTAACATAAAATTTAGAATGCCTCATATATTGGGGCAATCCCAAGGACATTAAGAAGTACTTTGAAAGGTAATTATGCATTTTCATTGGGGAAGATTAATAGCTCTGTGTGGAGAAAATTAAGGTTATTAAGGTTTAGAGCTCAGTAAAGAAAAGAAATTACTGTGTCTCACCCTCCATTGTTACCTATATGACAAACTGATAGAGATTTTTGACCTATGAAAGAAGAATTATTCATTTACATAAAATATAATTTGTATGAGATCTATCTTTTAAAGCATTTATTCTAGATAAAATATCATCATTCAGGTATGTCTGTATGTCTGTATGTTATTTTTATGCAGCACAATTTTAAATATTACTGCAGTCCCACTTTAACCACGAAAGCCAGCTGGGTGAATTTGAGTTAGTCATTCTCTCCCAGCCCAACCCACCTCACAGGACTGTGGTTGTGAGGAAAATAGGCGGAGGAAGATGTGTTGGATATGTTTGCTGTCTTGAATTATCCCATGACAGCAATAATAATAAAAAACAATAACAAATATCTTGTTAAAAATCCAATTTCAAGTCTTGGTAACTTACTTCTCATGTCTCATGACCAGGAAAGCAGCAAGTACTTGCAATGTTGATGGCAAGGAGCAGGCAATTAGACCCTGACTGCTTGCTTCAACAAATTGCACTAAGTGAGAAACTACTTATCATACTTACTAGGGCTGAAATTGTTAGTACAGTCTTATTCAGCCTTTCAAAATCTTGTACTGATGAACTATAAAAAGCAATACAAGTCTTGAGGGATATTAGATAGCCCCCTCAAATATACCAATATTTCTTATTCCATTATATCACTGATTCCATTATATTTCAAGAGTACCTGATTTAATGATGCACTGCTGTCACAGGAGAAATTTATATTAAAAATATTCTGTATGCACCCTTTACATGCTAATTACTTTCTTTATTGGGGTAAAGAACACAAAAAAATTTAAACTATTGCAATTGCTACCACAAATTCAGATCAAAATAAATGATTGAAGTAAATAATGAAACAACAATGCACAGATTCGTATAAAAAACAATATGTAAAATAAAATAATTGTGAATACAACAATTCATATCCCAATTCACACCTCAAAATTAAACACGGTTCCTCACTGTAGGAAGCAGACATAATACACTAATCCCTGAGACTATGTTTTCACAAACTTTCTTAAAGCAAGATGGGAAAAGTCATCTGAAAGTCCAGGGCCAAGCTACTGTATTACACCAAACAGGACCTGTAACTGGAGAGGCATGACTTTGAATGGGGGAGAAGCTAGCAAAATAATTTGATAATGGGTTGGGACCATGGGAATTTTTTTTCACAAATGGTCTTCTCTTCCCTCTTAAGGGACAGGCAAGTAGTCAGTGCTTGGTAACAGCTTGTTTTTAAGCATTCCACTCTTTCAGTTATCACAGCCAGAACGGATCTTGTGCAGCCCTACCATGGATCTCAATAGGAAGGTGTGGGAAAAAGAGTTTGTTTTACAGAAGCTGTAGAAGACATGCCTGTGAAGCAAATACACTGTATATATTTTAATCTCATGAGCCTAGCTTGAAGCTTGAGAATTGTATCTAGGAAGGTCTCTATTATGCTGAAAACCGGTCCTAACCAGAGCCTACTGATATGATAGCAACTTTAGAGACAACCCCTAGGAACTAACAAACATAAAAGGAAATTCGTAAATAAGAGAAGGGACGATAAAATTAGAGTAGTGGGAGATGTAATCAGGTGCGGAGATAATGTATTCACTTTAGAAGCTTTGGATAGGTTGTGACGACATGATTACAGTATGATTACTAACCCAATGAAGAAAAGGTGGGAGGTAAATTTGTAATGGCAATGGAGAATATAAACAATGAATAGTGTAGATTTGGGGTGTGTCCACTGTGTGCTTCCATGCACAAGGAGCACCCCCTTTGCAAAAGAGTACAAATAAATTACCATTGTTTTCTCTTGGAAGTTTTGGCTTGTGATTTCATTTTAACTAGACAATGAATCCCAGAAAGGAGAGCAGAAACCCACAAACAGATGGAATGTGTAACTATCTTATCCCAAAAAATACAGACTACTTTCTGTTGTCATTGTTGACAAAAAGGTTGGAAAGAATTCCAGCAGTGAAGCTCAGTGTGCATTCTTTACTATTTTTTATTTAGTTGAACTTAAGTATATTTTTTATTAAACTGATATTCAGAATATCCTAATAATTTACATTTGTATGTGATACAAGACTTCATTTGAACTGCTACTATGATATCTCAAAATACTGTGATTTAATTTAATGTTATTTAATTCAGTTCTTTTCATAAAACCCATCTCTTTTTATTGTATATAAAAGCACAATTAAATCATATTTGTTTTTAAACCCAGAACTCTCATTTATCTATCTTGAAATATTCTAAAAATGTAAATGTTTTTGAAATTGTTATTTCAATGAACTATACTCTGAATAATCAGAACAAAAGCTAAAAATATATGGAAAAATCAATAACTAAAAAGCAATTAAATTAAAAATATATGAATTTTGGTATTTATATATTAAAATAGAAATTCAGTAGTCTTGTGTTACAACTTATCGACAAATATATATATACTTGTTGTCATTAGCTGTACAACATTAAAGATTTTTTCCAGTAAAGTAAAAATAATACCAGCCATCCATAGAAATAATGTACAGAATAATTGCCAGACATTCTCTTGAATAATAATATGTAAATCATATATTCAAAAGGTTTTGTACAGGTAGTCTTCAAGTTATGATCATAATGGTGCCTGACCATTAGGGTTGGAAGTCATTAAATAAACTGAAAATAAAGATTGAATACTGAAGACCTTCATATGCCATAACAGGCAAAGAAGCCTGTTATATTTTGTTGAACAAAAATATAATTAGATCTTAATTTTTTAACGTATCTTAATTTCCTGTTGAAACCTCATTACAATTTTGTTATAATACAGGTTGACAAATAAAATTTATTCCATGTTTTTCTTGCTATATGACAAAGAATAAAGCTGAATCAAATACTTTTAGGTAAAACCTTTTAATTAATAATAGTGTCACCCTAATCTGTAATAAAGTAATGAAAATTATACACTATTTCTGAAATAACAAGGACTTAAAAATATGTACTTTGGAGGGGGTAAAAGTGGTGAAACAAGAATAATTCTGATTCAATTATTCATTTCCTTTACTCCAGTTCAGAATCAGGTTATTCTCTATCTTTACAATTACCAGTTGAACTAACTCCTAATCACACCTTTGTATACAGCTATGGGTGTTTGTCCTCTTGGAACTTAGTCAATTCCAAATACAAATATAATAAGACTACTGACCAATCATCCTTGCATCATAGGCCAGTAGTGAGATTCAGCCAGTTCGCACCACTTCGGCAGAACCGGTAGCTAATTTTTTGTTGCCCAGGCCCAGAATGGACTTCTGGAAGCGGCATCCACACAGAGAACCGGTTGTTCACATATTTGAATCCCACCACTGTCATGGCCTATTCTGTGAGGTACATGTAGAAACATAATTATGAGTTCAGAATCTCATAAATGTTCAACTCTATAAATATTGCTTCTCAGTCTCTTGCCTTAATTAGATAATAATTAATCACAGTTAATCCAATGAACTTTATATTTATCAAAAAGTAAAACAAAAGATGGTTTAGCAAACCTATTGCAAATAGCGACTTAGTGAAACTAGAGAAATGGTAAAGTGGAAATACTATTTCTTCTATGGTCTATGATTTTATAGTAATTTTTATTCATATATTTCATGTAGCTAAAGAAAGGTTTAAAACCTTGCATGAGTAACAGTTATATTGAACTATATCATAATATAATTTGTTTAGATTAAATTTAGTGTGCCTAGCCACTAGTGTGACATTGTTATCCATCCTTAAACAACTTCTGAATTAGTATGATGCGTGAACCTATAACATTTTACATCAAAGCAGCAAAATTCCTTCATGTACATATCTAAAAGAGGAATGTTCTTGCCATCAGTAAGTGCCCATGAGCAGAATGGCATCTTTTAATCCCTTCTATGGCAAGCACCATTTTGTACTGGAAAGCAAATGTTGCTGGCAAAATAAAAGTAACTGTTGTCTTAAAGATGAACTATCCATTTTTAATACTATTTTTTACTTCTAGGGATGGAAGTAAAAGTTGCCCTTTCATTTTAGTTGGACTTTGACAAGTTGCTTGAGGGGGCAAAATTTGGGTGGGATGAGTTCACATTCTCTTGGAAGAAAGGCAAAAGACACAAGAGG